GAACAAAATTGAATAAAATGCTTCCTCTTACATTTCTATGTTTTTCTGGAAAACCAGCTATGGGAAAATTGGGAAACTTTCGGGAAAAAGAGAGGAAAGTCAGGAGTTTATCATACTAAAATTTGAGATTGTCCCGGTGAAAAACCACACCATGAGAAATTCTTGAAAATCAACTTACGAGAACAAATTTGAATAAAATGCTTCCTCTTACATTTCTATGTTTTTCTGGAAAACCAGCTATGGGAAAATTGGGAAACTTTCGGGGAAAAGAGAGGAAAGTCTGGAGTTTATCATACTAATATTTGAAATTGTCCCGGTGAAAAACCACACCATGAGAAATTCTCAAAAATCAACTTCCGAGAACAAATTTGAATAAAATGCTTCCTCTTACATTTCTATGTGTTTCTGGAAAACCAGCTACGAGAAAATTGTGAAACTTTCGGGAAAAAGAGAGGAAAGTCAGGAGTTTATCATACTAAAATTTGAGATTGTCCCGGTGAAAAACCACACCATGAGAAATTCTTGAAAATCAACTTACGAGAACAAATTTGAATAAAATGCTTCCTCTTACATTTCTATGTTTTTCTGGAAAACCAGCTATGGGAAAATTGGGAAACTTTCGGGGAAAAGAGAGGAAAGTCTGGAGTTTATCATACTAAAATTTGAGATTGTCCCGGTGAAAAACCACACCATGAGAAATTCTTGAAAATCAACTTACGAGAACAAATTTGAATAAAATGCTTCCTCTTACATTTCTATGTTTTTCTGGAAAACCAGCTATGGGAAAATTGGGAAACTTTCGGGGAAAAGAGAGGAAAGTCTGGAGTTTATCATACTAAAATTTGAAATTGTCCCGGTGAAAAACCACACCATGAGAAATTCTCAAAAATCAACTTCCGAGAACAAATTTGAATAAAATGCTTCCTCTTACATTTCTATGTTTTTCTGGAAAACCAGCTATGGGAAAATTGGGAAACTTTCGGAGAAAAGAGAGGAAAGTTAGGAGTTTATCATACTAAAATTTGAGATTGTCCCGGTGAAAAACCACACCATGAGAAATTCTTGAAAATCAACTTACGAGAACAAATTTGAATAAAATGCTTCCTCTTACATTTCTATGTTTTTCTGGAAAACCAGCTATGGGAAAATTGGGAAACTTTCGGGGAAAAGAGAGGAAAGTCTGGAGTTTATCATACTAAAATTTGAAATTGTCCCGGTGAAAAACCACACCATGAGAAATTCTTGAAAATCAACTTCCGAGAACAAAATTGAATAAAATGCTTCCTCTTACATTTCTATGTTTTTCTGGAAAACCAGCTATGGGAAAATTGGGAAACTTTCGGGGAAAAGAGAGGAAAGTCTGGAGTTTATCATACTAATATTTGAAATTGTCCCGGTGAAAAACCACACCATGAGAAATTCTCAAAAATCAACTTCCGAGAACAAATTTGAATAAAATGCTTCCTCTTACATTTCTATGTGTTTCTGGAAAACCAGCCACGAGAAAATTGTGAAACTTTCGGGAAAAAGAGAGGAAAGTCAGGAGTTTATCATACTAAAATTTGAGATTGTCCCGGTGAAAAACCACACCATGAGAAATTCTTGAAAATCAACTTACGAGAACAAATTTGAATAAAATGCTTCCTCTTACATTTCTATGTTTTTCTGGAAAACCAGCTATGGGAAAATTGGGAAACTTTCGGGGAAAAGAGAGGAAAGTCTGGAGTTTATCATACTAAAATTTGAAATTGTCCCGGTGAAAAACCACACCATGAGAAATTCTTGAAAATCAACTTCCGAGAACAAAATTGAATAAAATGCTTCCTCTTACATTTCTATGTTTTTCTGGAAAACCAGCTATGGGAAAATTGGGAAACTTTCGGGAAAAAGAGAGGAAAGTCAGGAGTTTATCATACTAAAATTTGAGATTGTCCCGGTGAAAAACCACACCATGAGAAATTCTTGAAAATCAACTTACGAGAACAAATTTGAATAAAATGCTTCCTCTTACATTTCTATGTGTTTCTGGAAAACCAGCTACGAGAAAATTGTGAAACTTTCGGGAAAAAGAGAGGAAAGTCAGGAGTTTATCATACTAAAATTTGAGATTGTCCCGGTGAAAAACCACACCATGAGAAATTCTTGAAAATCAACTTACGAGAACAAATTTGAATAAAATGCTTCCTCTTACATTTCTATGTTTTTCTGGAAAACCAGCTATGGGAAAATTGGGAAACTTTCGGGGAAAAGAGAGGAAAGTCTGGAGTTTATCATACTAAAATTTGAAATTGTCCCGGTGAAAAACCACACCATGAGAAATTCTCAAAAATCAACTTCCGAGAACAAATTTGAATAAAATGCTTCCTCTTACATTTCTATGTTTTTCTGGAAAACCAGCTATGGGAAAATTGGGAAACTTTCGGAGAAAAGAGAGGAAAGTTAGGAGTTTATCATACTAAAATTTGAGATTGTCCCGGTGAAAAACCACACCATGAGAAATTCTTGAATATCAACTTCCGAGAACAAATTTGAAAAAAATGCTTCCTCTTACATTAATATGTTTTTCTGGAAAACCAGCTGCGGGAAAATTGTGAAACTTTCGGGGAAAAGAGAGGAAAGTCAGGAGTTTATCATACTAATATTTGAAATTGTCCCGGTGAAAAACCACACCATGAGAAATTCTCAAAAATCAACTTCCGAGAACAAATTTGAATAAAATGCTTCCTCTTACATTTCTATGTGTTTCTGGAAAACCAGCTACGAGAAAATTGTGAAACTTTCGGGAAAAAGAGAGGAAAGTCAGGAGTTTATCATACTAAAATTTGAGATTGTCCCGGTGAAAAACCACACCATGAGAAATTCTTGAAAATCAACTTACGAGAACAAATTTGAATAAAATGCTTCCTCTTACATTTCTATGTTTTTCTGGAAAACCAGCTATGGGAAAATTGGGAAACTTTCGGGGAAAAGAGAGGAAAGTCAGGAGTTTATCATACTAAAATTTGAAATTGTCCCGGTAAAAAACCACACCATGAGAAATTCTTGAAAATCAACTTCCGAGAACAAATTTGAATAAAATGCTTCCTCTTACATTTTTATGTTTTTCTGGAAAACCAGCTATGGGAAAATTGTGAAACTTTCGAAGAAAAGAGAGGAAAGTCAGGAGTTTATCATACTAAAATTTGAAATTGTCCCGGTAAAAAACCACACCATGAGAAATTCTTGAAAATCAACTTCCGAGAACAAATTTGAATAAAATGCTTCCTCTTACATTTTTATGTTTTTCTGGAAAACCAGCTATGGGAAAATTGTGAAATTTTTGGGAAGAAGAGAGGAAAGTCAGGAGTTTATCATAATAGAATTTGAGATTGTCCCGGTGAAAAACCACACCATGAGAAATTCTTGAAAATCAACTTCCGAGAACAAATTTAAAGAAAACGCTTTCTTTACATTTTTATGTTTATCTGGATAATCAACTATGGGAAAATTGTGAAACTTTCGAAGAAAAGAGAGGAAAGTCAGGAGTTTATCATACTAAAATTTGAAATTGTCCCGGTAAAAAACCACACCATGAGAAATTCTTGAAAATCAACTTCCGAGAACAAATTTGAATAAAATGCTTCCTCCTACATTTTTATGTTTTTCTGGAAAACCAGCTATGGGAAAATTGTGAAATTTTTGGGAAGAAGAGAGGAAAGTCAGGAGTTTATCATAATAGAATTTGAGATTGTCCCGGTGAAAAACCACACCATGAGAAATTCTTGAAAATCAACTTACGAGAACAAATTTGAATAAAATGCTTCCTCTTAAATTTCTATGTTTTTCTGGAAAATCAACTATGGGAAAATTGGGAAACTTTCGGGGAAAAGAGAGAAAAGTCATGAGTTTATCATACTAGAATTTGAAATTGTCCTGGTAAAAAACCACACCATGAGAAATTCTTGAAAATCAACTTCCGAGAACAAATTTGAATAAAATGCTTCCTCTTACATTTCTATGTTTTTCTGGAAAACCAAGTATGGGAAAATGGTGAAATTTTTGGGGAGAAGAGAGGAAAGTCATGAGTTTATCATACTAGAATTTGAAATTGTCCCGGTGAAAAACCACACCATGAGAAATTCTTGAAAATCAACTTCCGAGAACAAATTTGAATAAAATGCTTCCTCTTACATTTCTATGTTTTTCTGGAAAACCAGCTATGGGAAAATTGTGAAACTTTCGGGGAAAAGAGAGGAAAGTCAGGAGTTTATCATACTAAAATTTGAAATTGTCCCGGTGAAAAACCACACCATGAGAAATTCTTGAAAATCAACTTCCGAGGACAAATTTGAATAAAATGCTTCCTCTTACATTTCTATGTTTTTCTGGAAAACTAGCTAAGGGAAAATTGTGAAACTTTCGGGGAAAAGAGAGGAAAGTCAGGAGTTTATCATACTAAAATTTGAAATTGTTTCGATGAAAAACCGCATCATGAGAAATTCTTGAAAATCAACTTCCGAGAACAAATTTGAATAAAATGCTTTCCCTTACATTTTTATGTTTTTCTGAAAAACCAGCTTTATGGGAAAATTGTGAAATTTTTGGGGAAAAGAAAGGAAAGTTAGGAGTTTATCATACTAAAATTTGAGATTGTCCCGGTGAAAAGCCACACCATGAGAAATTCTTGAAAATCAACTTCTGAGAACAAATTTGAACAAAATGCTTCCTCTTACATTTCTATGTTTTTCTGGAAAACCAGCTATGGGAAAATTGTGAAATTTTCGGGGAAAAGAGAGGAAAGTTAGGAGTTTATTATACTAAAATTTGAAATTGCCCCGGTGAAAAACCACACCATGAGAAATTCTTGAAAATCAACTTCCGAGAACAAATTTGAATAAAATGCTTCCTCTTACATTTCTATGTTTTTCTGGAAAACCAGCTATGGGAAAATTGTGAAACTTTTGGGGAAAAGAGAAAAAAGTCAGGAGTTTATCATACTAAAATTTGAAATTGCCCCGGTGAAAAACCACACCATGAGAAATTCTTGAAAATCAACTTCCGAGAACAAATTTGAATAAAATGCATCCTCTGACATTATAATGTTTTTCTGAAGAACCAGTTAAGAGAAAATCGTGAAACTTTGGAAGCGAAACAAGACAAGTTGGACGTTCATCATATAAAAATTTGACATAAGAAAAATTCTTAAAAATCAGTCACTGTCTGCCAACTCGTTGACATTTATCAAAACCATTTCCTATCAATCCCACAGAAAATTTACAGTAAAAATGTCCGAAAGGCCCGAAATAACTCAGAAAAAACCTGCACCCGTAGACATTTACGACGAAGAATTTCACAACAACTTGAAAATAGCCAAAGGTTTCATAAGCGAATTGGGATCTAGAGGGGGTAAGTAAAGTCTGTTCATAAAGACTGGACTTTTTTGAGTGCGTGATCTAAGATTTTGGACGCTGATTGGCCAAAATTGGGGGGTCGATTAGCGGTTAATTTTAACGATTTAACTCAATAATAATAATTGACAAATAGGTAACTTTTTAAAAAACTTTATTGAAATAAAATGAAAACAGGCTACAACTTGACAAAGTATTCAATAAATACTTTCAGTGTGCCATAAAATAAACATTTTTAGAAAAATAGGGCCTCTACTACAAACAAAGATCACTCTTTGTTTTAGAGAAGCAAAATTCAGTTGCGGTTTCAAAAGATTTTTAAGTCCATAAGTTTACTTTAAAAAGCGTTTCAATGAGCAAAAAAATTAGCAAAAAACGATTACTTATATTATAATAGAACATAGTGTCTTTAATAGGAACACAAATTTGCACTTTAAAGTCAGTTTTTTTGAGTTGGGAAACTTAAAAGCTAAGTACTTAAGAGTAAAGCTAGCTATGTTTCTTAGAAGTAAATCTTTTGAAACCGAAAATGAGTAGAGTTAAACTAACTATAAGTGAAAGCTAACCTAATTTACATTATGTACAGGCTTTTTTTTTGGAATTTGAGAGTCAATCTCAACAAAAATGATTGGAGCAGTTTTATTTGTAAATTGGTTTTGTGTCTATTCAAGAGCCTGGAATAAACAAAAAATTGATTTTCCAAGCCCTCGAATTTTCTTAAAAGCTTATAGGTTTTACAAATAAGCATTAATGAATTTGCTCCAGGCAATTAACTTGTTAGCAGAGATTACAAAACAATTTTTACAGATAAACAAATTTGCCGTAAATGGATTCAAAAACTGGTAAACCTAAAATCCGACAATCCGGTTGTAAAGAAAAACCGAAATTCTTTTTTCAAATACCTGCTGTGGGTTATGGAACAGGCGATTAAGGATTCAGCATTCAAAATTGAAGGAGTAAGAGGATTGATTAATTAGGGAAAATAATTATTACAGATTGAAAATTTTAGGATGGTAAACAAGGTGCCACAGACGATGACAGTTTTATGTGCAAATGGTCCAGTGATAAGAGAACTTATATGGCGGCCAAACCTTTGCCCGGATTAGGGACGTTGGTTTATATGGCTGTATCGAAGGACCCTACTTTAGGCTGGGACCACCCTTAACGTCTCTTTCTGCCTGCGCTGTTTTTGCCGCCACTTCTCTGGCCCTTGCCTCCTTTAGGTTTTTTGCCCATTTTATTTTTGCTTTTGCTACCGCCGCCCTTGCTTCTTTCATGATGATTATTATCACTTAAATCCATCCTAATTAAAAAAAAAAAATCATTAATAATCAATAAATAACATTGAAATTACACATACTTTGTTGATTGTATTTGTTTTGCAACTGCCTGTTCAATGTTCATTTTTGGTCGTTTGTTAAGGATACTGTCCAGGATTTCCAGGTTTTCTTTTTTCTCAATGTGGCCTGCTACAGGTGGTAGTTTTCGTTTCCTGGAAGCTCCAGGAGTGATGTCAGCAACGCCTCTAGCCTCCTTTTCTTTTGGCAATTTGTCTTGAAACTTGCCTAAACTTGCAGTAGATGCTTTGGCAACTGTTACTGCAGTTTGTAGTTCTTTTGAAGAAGCATTATCTGGATTAGTGACTCCAACTCTGGGTACTTTAACATTTTTGCTTTTGGCAATGTTTCTTAATCGTTGTAGTTCGTTTTTGGCTACGTTTTCGCTTCGCGCAGTTACTTTTTTGGCAAATTGATCTTCGTTGGGGTCGGCATTTTGAGGCACCTCTAGTACCCAATTTTTTTCCTTTTCGGCTTGGGCCCGCTTAAAACCGTACAGTGGGATCCATTTTTGTAGTTGCTGGTCCCAAGAGAGTTTGGCTTTTTTCTTTTTTTGAATTCCCTTGTCTTTAGCGAACTGTTGCCATTTTGTCAAGGATTTTGGTTTCGGTACGGGTTTCATTCTCGGCAATAGGGTTTTAGCAGGGGGTAGTTTTACCATTACGGCTTCTTCTACTCTTTCTGTTGGCAATTCCCATAGTTGGTTGATTAGCAATTGTGTATTGTCTCTGGCTAGATTTAGGAAATAGTCCTCTCTTTTGTCTGGTCTAAAAACAAAAATAATTTTTTCTACTACCGTGCGTAAAGTACTCACTTTACGCACTATTTAGAAGACGTAAAATTTCACTTCACGCACTAGTGCGTAAAGTAATTCACTTCACACACTAGTGTGTAAAGTAATGTCAATGACAGATGTTGAAACTGTCAATTTGGCATTTTTCTGGTAAATTACTTCACACACTAGTGCGTAAAGTGAAAATTCTTCAGGCACTAGTGCGTGAAGTATTTGTCTAAAATTATTTTTTCACACATATTTGTTGAGTAGTAGAAAAAATTTTGTATGCAATTTGTGCGTAAAGCACCTTTTTTCACTCATGTGATTGTCGCACTCGCCTTAAAATTCACATTCGTGAAAAAAGGTTCACTTTACACACTTGTTGCATAAATAACTATTTTAGACATTTGAATTTCTAGACATATGTTTCAACATGAAAATAAATAGGTATTATCCATTCACAAACCGATGTCCACAGATACAGGTAAAATGTATCACCTTCCAATACTATTTGATAAGGAAAGGTGATAAATTTACCTTTACCTGTGAACATCGGATTGTGAATAGGATATAAGCACTGCGAAATCAATGAACTGGTTTTCTCAAGTTCATAAACAATACATGCACAAACATGTTGACTTACCTCAAAAATTTCGACTCGAAATCATTGTTGTCTACAGCCAATAATGTGCCAAGATCATATTCCAACTCTAGATGCTTTTTCACTTCTATGGACTTGTATTTTAAGGCCTCCGATTCCGATTTTTGTAAAATTTCACTCACCACAACATCCATTTTGTTTAATGAATAAAATAATCCCAAAATTACCTTACCATTTGAAAATAACCATACTTTTTTTGGTTACACGTGCAAAAGTTACCAGAACTGTCAAAAAAGACACTAGAAAATTTTCGTTTTTGTGGGTTGGCAGTTGTGTAATCGTGTATTCCCCTAGCATTGCCGCCATGTTGCTCCTAATTCGAATTTTCGAACTCATTGAAATTTTATAGAAATAACTACTCAAATTAAAATATTATATTGATATAAATTACAATATAATAATTTACTACCCATTTTTACAGATTACAACAATCATAGGATTTATAGGAATCTCATAGGAAAGAAAACTGAAAACAAAACAATTAAAATTTAGGAGCAAAATGGCGTCAATTGACATCACTCTGAGCTGGCGCCATCTATTAGTGAACGATGCAAAATTCAAATGCTTTAAACAATAGGCCACTGCTGTGACGTCAGCTGCAGTCCTTTGATGGCTGTTTTCGATTCGCTTTGGTACGTCATCAAGGCAAACCAAATTAGAACCGACCGTTTCCGATTGCAAACCGGTGACGTGACAGGCATCGCTTGATCCGTCTAAATTCGAACCAACTTCGCGAGTGGTTCGCATTTTGGTTTAAATTTCTGTTCACTTTTATAACCCTTAAAACATGGCTTCTGATTGACCATGCATGTATAAAACGTCAAATTGTCAAAGCAATGTCAAAAAAAAAGCAAATTTCGCAGTTATGAGTACTAAGCATAATCAAAATTGAACATAATAGTTGTATTCCTTTCACACCTAAGGAGGAGCTCCGGAACAGCTCCGGGGCTTCACGCCCTTATTCCTTTCGAAAAGTGTTTGTTGCATCACGCATCAGTTCCCTGCAAATCGGGGGCTACTAAACACCGGAACGAGTAGCTCGAGTGTTTCAAACTCTTGAAAGGAATACAACTAATTACATATTTGTCATATGTGGAGTGCTCCAAGTGAGTAAATCGTTCAAGATTGTATATTTTTTTACTCCTTTAAAGTAAATAGAGTAAAGTTCAAATATTGAAGAGTATAAAGGCAAACGAGTTCGGAATAGGTTGATGGGTTTAAGAACAAATAAAACCGATTTGGTACTGATTCTAGTTGCACCGCGAACACAAAACAGTAAATTCAATGATCTGGGACACAAATAAAGATTGTTCATTGGGAATCAGACTTTGAAATCTATTCGGAACCAGTTTTAATTGAATTACGAACAATCAATGTGCTTCAATACAATTCAGGTTAGTTTATTTCGAATTCGGAACAGCAACCCACAGATGTGACAGCTGATAGGTTGACGCGTACGAACAGCTCAGGGGCTCAAGCCCCGAGTAGCTCCGGGCGTCACACTCCCATACTGGAAAGCGGCTATAGTAAATAAATTCATTGTTTAGTAGCATATTAGAGTAGTTCGAACAGTAACAATCAAAGCAGTGCAAGCAGAATACAGTTAACGCAGATGGCACATAAATCAAAACTGTTTTCTCGCGGTGCAACTAGTTCGAACCTGTTACATTCTTGCGTTGAACCATTGACGTCACATTGAACCTGGTTCCAAAAAGTTCGAACTGCAATTTTTGGCTTGTTATCCGTTGACATAAGACTGTGTTCAAACCTTCCATTTTCTCGCGTTCACCAATGTTGACGTCATTTACAAAGTGGTTTAAACCGTAATTAAAATTATTCGCCCCGCGGGGCAATGTAAGCAGTTACTCCATTTGATTTGAGATTCTCGTTTTAGTGCACTAAATTTAATTCTGTTTACTCGTACTACTGTTTTAGAGTAAATAGAGTAGGTTTATTCATTAAAAAGTTGTATTTAAAAATCCCTCCCTATAATCAAAATTGAACATAAATTACTTTGTCATATGTGGAGTGTTCTGAATAAGCAAATCGTTCAAAATTGTATTTTTTTACTCCTTTGAAGTAAATAGAGTGAGTTCGAATATTGAAGAGTTTAAAGGCAAACGAGTTCGGAACAGGTTATTGGGTTTAAGAACAAATAAAACCGATTTGGAACTGATTCTATTTGCACCGTGAACACAAAACAGTAAATTCAATGATCTGGGACACAAATAAAGATTGTTCATTGTGAATCAGATTTTGTAATCTATTCGGAACCAGTTTTAATTGAATTACGAACAATCAATGTACTCCAATACAATTCAGTTTAGTTTATTTCGAATTCGGAACGGCAATTGTAGCAATCGGAATTCAAAAAATCAATTCTAAAATGATCTGAAACCGGTACTAAATGAATTGTTAATGTGATTTAGGACGCTAATTTAGGATTCTCGTGCACCGTATGCGTTTAATAATAATTTAGTTCTATATTTTTTCTAGTTTGGAACCACTCGGAACTTTAAAAACCAGTTCAGAAATGCTCTGGAACCAAGGAATTATAGTAAGCTTAAGGGTCGGTATTATAAAGCTGGTGAACCGTCGGTTGAGTTTCAACCAGCCGTCGAACTGAAATGTCCATATAAAATCATACGGAAATGTCAGTTCGACCGCTGGTTGACACTCAACCTTCGATTCACCAGCTTTATAATACCGGCCCTTAATGGTTCTAGGACATCATTGTGCACTGTTTGCGTATAATAATGAACCAGTTTATAATTTTCTCTAGTTCAGAGCAGCAATTGAACTACTTGAAACTCTAAGAGCCAATTCAAAAATCATCTGGAATCGGTTCTAAATAAACTGCGAACAATTCTGTGTGTTTGGAGCATCGCAACAATAATGAGTCTAATCAGAATCGATATGAACAAATGCGTAAACGCAGTTCAATTCAGATGTGATTATAAATTAGGTCCGAACAAGCCTATTCCAATTTATAATAAGTTTAGAGTTGATCTAGAACCGGTTCTAAATGAACTACAATTAAAAAAGAGTAAAATCGATGTGTTTCAGGGCACTTATATTAAAATTTTTCGATCGTGAACTAATATGGAAAAGGTCTTTAGAACACAAAGAAAGGTTTTGGAGCTGCTTATCTAGTTGAACTCTATATAGTTTAGAACTAGTTCTAATTGAATGACGAACAGAAAATAGAGTAATAAGTTCCATGTGTTCTAGGACACTGATTCAGATTTTTTTTTATTGTGATCTAGTTCTAGGCTTCATTTTACAGTAAACGAGTTCGAAACAAGTTTTCAATCAATTTTTAGAACAGCTATGAGTTATTTTCTCGCGGTGGAACTGGTTCAATCCAGTCCAATTAGGTTCGAACCTGTACATTCTTGGTTCGAACTAACTTCGCGAGTTGGTTCGAATTTTGGTTTAAATTTCTGTTCGCTTTTATAACCCTAAACCATGGCATCTTTCTTGACAGACCAAATTCAAGGGTTGTTAACGAACTTATGTCATATCCGAATTAACTGGCCGAACCCTGAGCCGCTTTCCAGTATTGAAGTGTGACGCAAGGAGCTAATCGGAACGTTGAGCTCCCGAGCTATACGTATGGACAAACGTCACACGTCATTATACTGAAACGGTACAAATCTCACGCTCCCGGAGTGCTCTAGAGCGCGCAAATATGGATTTAAGGCACTTTCTCGCGGGGCAAAAGGTTCGAACTACGGCTTAAGCCAATTTGTAGATGACATCATCACTGGTGAGCGCGAGAAAATTGAAGGTTTGTCTTATATCAACGGAGAACAAGCCAAGAGTCCGAACGTTCGAACTTTTTTCAACCAAGTTCGATGTGACGTCACTGGTTCAACACAAGAGTGTACAGGTTCGAACCTAATCGGACTGGATTGAACCAGTTCCACCGCGAGAAAACAACTCAAATCTGTGCTTAAAATTGATCGAAAACTTGTTCCGAACTCGTTTACTGTAAAATAAAACCTAGAACTAGATCACAACAAAAAAAAAATCTGAATCAGTGTCCTAGAACACATGGAACTTACTCTATTTTCTGTTCGTCATTCAATTAGAACCAGTTCTTAACTATATAGAGTTCAACTAGAATCAGCTCAAAAACCTTTCTTTGTGTTCTCAAGACCCTGTTCCATATTAGTTCACGATCAAAAAATTTTAATATATAGTGCCCTGAAACATATCGAATTTACTCTTTTTTATTTGTGGTTCACTTAGAACCAGTTCTAGATCAACTCTGAACTTATTCTAATTTGGGATAGGCTTGTTCGGACCTAATTTAGGATCAAACTGCGTTAACGCATTTGTTCATATCGATTCTGAACAGACTCATTATTGTTACGTTGTTCCGAACACACTGAATTGTTCGCAGTTCATTTAGAACCGATTCTAGATGATTTTTAAATTGATTCTTAGAATTCCAAGTAGTTCGATTGCTGTTTTAAACTAGAGAAAATCATAAACTGGTTTATTATTATACGCAAACAGTGCACAATGATGTCCTAGAACCATCAAACTTACTATAATTCATTGGTTCCAGAGCATTTCTGAACTCTAAAAACCAGTAGAGTTCCGAGCAGTGGTTCGATTGTTGTTCCAAACTAGAAAAAATTTAGAACTAAATTATTATTAAACGCATACGGTGCACGAGAATCCTAAATTAGTGTCCTAAATCACATTAACAATTCTTTTAGAACCGGTTTCAGATCATTTTAGAATTGATTTTAAGAATTCCGATTGCTACAATTGCCGTTCCGAATTCGAAATAAACTAAACTGAATTGTATTGGAGTACATTGATTGTTCGTAATTCAATTAAAACTAGTTCCGAATAGCTTTCAAAGTCTGATTCACAATGAACAATCTTTATTTGTGTCCCAGATCATTGAATTTACTGTTTTGTGTTCACGGTGCAACTAGAATCAGTTTCAAATCGGTTTTATTTGTTCTTAAACCCAATAACCTGTTCCGAACTAGTTTGCCTTTAAACTCTTCAATATTCGAACTCGCTCTATTTACTTCAAAGGAGTAAAAAAATACAATTTTGAACGATTTGCTTATTCAGAACACTCCACATATGACAAAGTAATTTATGTTCAATTTTGATTATAGGGAGGGATTTTTAAATACAACTTTTTAATGAATAAACCTACTCTATTTACTCTAAAACAGTAGTACGAGTAAACAGAATTAAATTTAGTGCACTAAAACGAGAATCTCAAATTAAATGGAGTAACTGCTTACATTGCCCCGCGGGGCGAATAATTTTAATTACGGTTTAAACCACTTTGTAAATGACGTCATCATTGGCGAACGCGAGAAAATGGAAGGTTTGAACACAGTCTTATGTCAACGGATAACAAGCCAAAAATTGCAGTTCGAACTTTTTGGAACCAGGTTCAATGTGACGTCAATGGTTCAAGGCAAGAATGTAACAGGTTCGAACCAGTTGCAGAAAACAGCTTTGATTTATGTGCCATCTGCGTTAACTCTATTCTGTTTGCACTGCTTTGATTGTTACTGTTCGAACTACTCTAATATGCTACTAAACAATGAATTTATTTACTATAGAATCTGAAACCATAACAGTAGGCTGATTTTAATTTTTATCTCGTTTTTATTCTCATCGGTAATTTCACTGATGAGTTAGCTATATTTTGAATACTAAAAAAAAACGCAAGGTTTGTTTCATTTGCACTAACTTGATTTAAATTACTCTAAGCATTCCATCTGCACTAATTCTATTGTTCGAGTTACTCTAAGTATACCAATTATTGCAAGATTGTTATTTATTTTTATTTTATAAATACATGAAATTGTTCACGTTGTTCAAGCAGCAAAACAACTAACTGACCCAAATAAAAAATATACTTATTAATTTGCTGCACGAAAAAATACATATTATGAAACAAAAAAATCGAGACTCTTCTTCTGCTTAGTGTCCATACTTTTGGAATTCCCACTCCCTGTTGTCCAATGGACAAACCTGCCTGGTCTTCAACCATCTCGAGATACAATGAAAATGGAAAGCGTGATTACAAACGCCCCAAGCGACAGTGCATTCTTCGCTGGTAGCGGAGGCCTGATTAGCCTGGCATTCTATACACAAATCCATTATGTGATTTCTGCAGATAGCGCAATTGTCAACAACGATATCTAACAAAAAAAATGTGAAAAAATTAGGATTTTTTTGGGGCTGTTTAAGAGGTTACTTGTTACCTACCCCAGGCCCATAGGGCTACTGCATTCCACTAGAAAAATAAATTATTATTAATAATGAACAATGAAAAATTTGAGGTTAAGTTAAAGGGGGCACCTTTTTCACTTCGAACCGCTTTTTTTCCCCCTTTGAGCTGCTCGATGTGGGCATTTCTACTTCGTCAGTGTCCACGTCCATTGCGGATGCTGATGCCATTTATTTTATATTTTTCTATTTATTTTTTACAATGAAAATTGAAAATTTTGTTATTCCCAGAAACAATGGACACTAAAAAATAAACAAAAAGACAAATAAAAAAGGTCAGCTGTCAAAAATTATCTGACTTTCCACAAATCATTGCAGCGTTGCCAACACTAAAATCAAAATGAAGGTCAATCGATTACCTGATGTCGTCACTATCAGACCTACAGCCGAATTACAATTTCACTAGTCGACACGATAATGATAATGGATGCAACTTTTCTTACTTTTCTCATTTATTTTTGAATTTTTCCGTATCAACTTATCTATCTTATCTATTCCCTGCTCTTGAATTTTCGTTTTCTTCAAAATTGTTTTAAATAGAGAAAACTTAAGAGCTTTGGAGTTTGAATGAAACACTTTGTGCATCATTTTTTTCTCAATTTCTTTTGACTCTTTTCTTTATTTCTCAATTTTTTCCGCAATTCCCACTCAATTTTCGTTTATTCCCGGCTCTTCAAATTGTCAAAGAAGAAAACTCCAAGACTACTCAAGAGCCTGGAATAGGGAAAAACATGAATGTCTTCTTATCTATCTTTTTTTTTCTCAACTTTTCTCTAGTTATTTGTCTATTCCCGGCTCTCGTATTTTCCTTTTCTTCTAAATTTAAGACCTTGGAATAGAGACATAGGCTCATATGAATAAAACAGGAGCAGATGCTTTTATTTATGTTTTTTTGAGACAAACATATTCAGCTTTAATGCAGCAAAAAGAGATGGAGGTAGAGTAAAAGCATTTGCTAACTTTATTCATATGACTGATATTTTGAAATTTCGGAAAGTGAAGCGATATTTTTGATTATAAACCAAAGTTTACAGCCGCACACTTTGCAATCTACTTTACCGGCCGCACGCCTTGCAGTGAAGCACTTTACTTTATCGTATAGTTTGCGGTAAAGTGCTTCTTTCCACTTGCAAATGGATGCGGTGAAGTGTACTTTTCATACGCTCGTAAGAGAAGAGCCTATTTTAAATATTCATAATCATAATCTATAAAAACACTGCAGCAGGTTTCATATCTTTTCTATGCATTATATAATAAGCGCGCCAATAAAGGACTGCAGCTGACGTCACAGCACTGGCTGTTTGCAAAGAGAATACACACTCTAGAAATTGCTTATCGGCCTCGTTTTTGGTAATCGCCGCCATATTGGTTTGTCACCTTTTCTGACGTCATTACTAAGTTGTCAGCTGCTTGCACTAGCGGTCGTAGTTTAGAATTTAAATTTCTCATGAAAAATATTTTATTTTTGTTTTGTTATTGGATATTGGATGTCTTAATAATTCTAATCCTGAAAACCTCAAAGTCGAACAGAGAACAGTAACAATCGGAGCAGTGCACTTGGAACAGTCAGAGTAGAATTACTAAAAACCCAAAATTTATTTTCAAATCAGCGTACTATCTTCTTCCACCGATTGACCCACCGATAAGCAATCTATCTTTATCTATCACATAGTAAATCCAATGACGGATTCATAGGGCTCGGCGCCCGAAAAAACTATATAGAACATTTTCTAAAGTTTATTGGCGAAAGTTTTTCTTGTCGTGTAAAACAGAAAAAGTTGACTTACGAAATATTTCGGCAACAATTTCGTAAGTTATTTCGTAAAGAAACTTTTCCGTGTGAAACGGCTTTTAAAGTAATTTAAATCGAGTTAGTGTAAATGGAACACAATTAAAACAGTCAAAGTAAATAGGAAAGATGAACAGATCAAAAAGAGTCAGTGCACTTGGAACAGTCAGAGTAGAATTACTAAAACCCCAAAATTAATTTTCAAATCAGCCTACTCTTATAGTGAATAAATTCATTGTTTGGTAGTATAGATTAGTTCAAATAGTGAGAATCGGAGCAGTTTAAACAGAACAGAGTTGGTACAGATGGGAGAGAAATTAAAGCAGTTGGAACACTTAGAGTAACTCGAACAATAGAAGGAATTCAAATAGAATTAAAATGCAGATGGAATTCTTTTTAGAGTAAGTTAAATCGAGTTAGTGCAAATGGAACATAATTAAAACAGACAAAGTAGATCGGACAGTTGAACAGATCAAAAAGAGTTGGTGCACTTGGAACACTCAGAGTAGAATTACTAAAAACATAAAATTAATTTTCAAATCAGCCTACTGTTATAGTGAATAAATTCATTGTTTTTTAGCATATTAGATTAGTTCGGATAGTAAAAATCGGAACAGTTTAAACAGAACAGAGTTAGTGCAGATGGAAGAGAAATTGAAGCAGTTGGAACACTTAGAGTAACTCGAACCATAGAAGGAATTCAAATAGAATAAATGCAGATGGAATACCTAGAGTAATATAAATCGAGTTAGTGCAAATGGAACAGAAATGAAACAGTCAAGTAGTTCGGACAATTGAACAGATCAAATGCAGTAATTTAAATCAAGTTAGTGCAAATGGAACAGAATTAGAACAGTTAAAGTAGTTCGGACAGTTGAACACAGGGTCGTAGCTAGAGTCAAGTTTGAGATAGGGCATGACAAATTTGACATAGGGCATACACTACTTTGCCCCCCCACCGTGAAATCCATTGGTAAGTTCAGTGCGCACTGAGTGCATTCGTATCCTCTTCTACTAGCACTAGCATGTAAAGGAAAGTGACAGAAGTACATGTTTTTTGCCCTAATTTCACCAATGGTTTTTGCCATAAATATGTTTAACTATTATTACAGGAGAGCTTATTATCATAAGGTCTGTGTATATCAAAGCTCAAGCCCCCCACCACGCCAAAGAACCAGTAATTGCGTAAACAGCGTGTCGTTTCTCGCCTTGACGTAGTATGTTTTCACCACAGGTTATGATCCCATGATAACATTTTTCATCATAAATGTATATTCGAAACTACGTCAGCTGACGACGTAGTTGATGATGTCATCAATAGTGTTACACCATTTGGCCGCAAATTTCCACGTATGAGGCCGATAAGCAATCCTGTGTAGTGTGTAGTAGTGTGTATTATCGTATTATCCTTGCATTTGCACTCTGGCGAAACGAAAAACTTCTGTGTAACATTGTTGCATACATTTCGGAGTTTTCGGAAACACTTATCCTCACACTTACTCGATTTCAGGACTTTTCATTATCTTCTCTTAAATTCCTAGAGAAACCTTAACGCATGTTGCGTTTTAAAGGTAGGGCATGATCATTTGAAAGATATAACCGAATTTTCGCGACGAATGTAGTTCATCTAAGGATAAACCATAGTTCAATTGTGACGTCATGAGTTTGAACGCTGGCTAGAAGCTGCATCCATTTTTCCGTCGAACTACGTTCAATATGACGTCATGAGTTTCTCGCAAAAGCGTTTGTGTTTATGAAATCATGAAAGTAGTTTGTCACGAAAATTCGGTTTATGGCGTCAAGTCGTACTTGAGCTAAGACGCAACTTTGAGCATCGACTATTAATACGGGCCTTAAAAAGAGTCAGTGCACTTGGAACAGTTAGAGTATTACTAAAAAACAAAATTAATTTTTAAGTCAGCCTACTTTTATAGTGAATAAACTCATTGTTTAGTAGCATATTAGATTAGTTCGAATAGTAAAAATCGGAGCAGTTTAAACAGAACAGAGTTAGTGCAAATGGAACAGAAATGAAACAGTCAAAGTAGTTCGGATAGTTGAACAGATCAAAAAGAGTCAGTACTTTTGGAACTGTCAGAGTAGAATAATTAAAAACCCAAAATTAATTCACAAATCAGCCTACTGTTATAAGGTGTTTTCGTTTTAGAGCTTTGAAACCCCAGGCTTTGACGCTGCAAGAAGAACAGTAAATAAGGATCAAAATCTGTGCTCACAAACTTAACCTTAAACTACAAGGTGCGTACGATAGCCGCTTTCCAGTTGACACTTTTGAGCACGCATTTGAGCTTTTGCGCGCGCAAATGCTTCAAGCGCGTGTCCGTGTTCCAGCCATACTGCGCTTCGAGAACTGCTAACTTTTGCGTTTCAAACACAGAACACTGTGCTGCACCGTGCTTGAAGCACACAGCTGGAAAGCGGCTGATAATTCTAACTACTAACACGTTTTACCCTGAGCCGTCTATAGGTCTGTTCCCACAGGAGTTTCTGACAGTTTGCAAACTGTCGGTAAGCATCGCCCATGCATGTTTTCAATGCTGTCGTTACAAGATAAATCTGTAACTCAGCTGAGCGATTGTTTCTGACAGTTTGCAAACTATCAGAAACTCCTGTGGGAACAGACCTATTATTGTCGCACTTTTTACAACATTCGTACCGTTTAGCATTCCATTTTCTCGATGTAGTTTAGATGGTTACGTTCCAAAACATAACTGCACTAACGCTAACCAGTTCAGACAAATCGTACGCACCAAAAGTATGTAAATACAATACATGTGTCATAGGATAGGATATATAAGTATCTGACCGTTTGGACACTGGAGCTGTGGAGCTTCGACGCCTCGAACCTTGGGGATAGACGTCCCCGGGGCTTGACGCCCCGATCAAAAAGAACAGTTGTTTACCTTTCAAAATCGTGATCCAGGGCGCGCCCAAGCCCAAATAGAATTATTGCAGATGGAATGCTTAAGAGTAATTTAAATCGAGTTAGCGCAAATGGAACAAAATTAAAACAGTAAAATAGTTTGGACAGTTGAACAGATCAAAAAGAGTCAGTGCACTGGGAACTGTCAGAATAGGATTACTAAAAACCTAAAATTAATTTTCAAATCAGTCTACTGTTATAGATTCTCTGTGTAGTAGCATATTAAAGTAGTTCGAACGATAACAATCAGTGCAGTGCAAACAGATCAGAGTTAATGCAGAAGGAACAGAAATTAAAGCAATTGGAACACCTGAAGTAACTCGAACAATAGATGGAATGCTTATTAGAGTAATTTAATTCGAGTTAGTGCAAATGGTAGAGAACTAAAAAAGTCTAAATAGTTCGGACAGTTGAATAGATTATAAATTAAAAGAGTCAGTGTACTTGGAACAGTTAGAGTAGAATTAATTACATAGCCTATTAAAATTACACTCGGTTATTTACGCGCTAAAATTTTAAAAGATCTGAGTACAGAAGCGTCCTCTACAACTCATTATTCAACTTTGAATATTTCATGCCATTATCCCATTACGTTAAGATCGGATTGAAATTAATAATAAAATTTGCCAAAAGGTTATTGGAGTCTTGCAACTGTGAAAGTATAAGAGGTCTGATAATGACGCCATCAAATCTAGATTGCTTGTACAGAGCAACATTTTTTAGAGCTGGCAACAATAGTTGTATGTTGTAATACTTTCACACCTAGGAGGAGCTCCGGATAAACTCCAGGGCGTCACGCGCTTATTCCTTTCGAAGTGTTTGTTGCACCACGCATCTTTTCCTATCAAATCGGGGGCGGCTAAAGCTTACTTTTCATGCATCCGTTTTTCCGGGAGTATTCCTATTGGTTCAAAATGTTGGCGCCAAAATATTGGACCAATAAGAATACTTCTGGATCAACGGACTGACGAAAAAACGGATGCATGAAAAGTAGGCTTAATACCGGAGCGAGTAGCTCGAGGGTTTCAAACTCTTGAAAGGAATCAATTAATGTTGTCTTTGTGTTCCTCCAATAAGATTAGTTGAAGAAGGATGGAGCGCAATGAACTAGGGCAACTGAAAAGGCCTAAATTGGCGGGAGTTTTTTCCGATTACAGATCGGCAACACTGTAAATCAATACACAGCTGTGTAGCCTAAACCCACAATAAAATAATAACACAACAATGTCGAAAAACCCAAAAGAAATAAACGAAAAATTCATCAAAAAGGAATCTCGTACGGAATTCGACGCTATCCATCCGAGGTTCAAGCCTGAGGACGAAGCTGTAGCCTTACAGTACCAACGGGAACAGTACTACCATTGTCAGCAGTGCAACTTGTTTTTTGCACCAACAGTAACAGGCCTCAAGACCCATTTTAAGGGCGACATGGTACGCCACAGACCTTGCGGCTCTTGCTTTTACTGCCAGGGAGAAGTGTTCGAGTACACGATTAACAACCAACACAGAATTCATCATTCCTGCCATTAGACTAAGAGAAAAGTTCCTATTTTAATTTTTTATAGTACAAATAATAATGTATATTTTTCTTATATAATTTTAATTACTTCTATAATGGTTTTCTGAACAAGATGGTGATCTGGATCTTCTGTTGCCGCAATATGAACAATACCTACAAATATAAAATAATATATTTCAAGTTTTTATTTAAATATTGTTAATTACTTTTTTTTCAAATGACCGCGTCTGTCAGGACTAGGAGGGTTCTTCTCTAATCTATGACTATAACAATTTAAGAATTAATTAAAATGCCTTATTATTTATTTGAAATTTACTTGTTTCCATCATTTCTTGTAATTTCTCTAATAGGGCTACCACACCATGCAACATGTCTTGTTTCAGTTTCTTCTTCGTTCTTGAAAATCCACTCTCCTTGCTCATGATTTACTTTGATTTTTCTATTGAATACACATTTCGATGGGACACCTTGAAAATAATTAGTGGGATTTTCTTAGTTTTTAAATTTCAAATAAGTTGTATTTTTTTGATAAATTATTACTTATTGATAAAATTAATTGTGTGTGTTTTCTTCATAACTTCTTCTTTCTTCTTCTTGTCTTCGTCTTCTTCATGGTCTTCTTATGCAATGTATAAAGCAATTTGAAAAAAAAATCTACCAAATTACCACTACTACTTAATGCAACTATTGACTACATAAATAAGCAAAGCAGATTCTTCTTTATCTTCAATCTTCATTCTTCTTGTACAGCTATATTTTACAAAGTTATTATTAACATGATAATTATTATTAATTCAATGTATATTATTTAAACAAATAAAATTATTACCTGATACAAGGTGAACAAGGGTTGATATTTCCTCAGGGTTGGCCGCACTTGATTGCAAGGGTGAGTCTCTCGACAATGGCAAAACTACATTGTAATTTTGTATGGTTCGCGTAAGTCTCAATTCTCTGTGTTCCGAGGGGTTCGAACTAACATGCTGGTCCCTCGAGGAGCTTGAAATTTATTTAATTTATCATTTGGTCCTAGAGTAAGTTTAGTACACTCACCATGCTTCAGATTCTATAAGTCTTATCTCTGCTGGTGGTAATTTATTCATTTTTTTGTTGTTTTTTTTTACTTAACACAAGGGACGTGAAACAAATTAGTTATTCTAATAAATAAAATTGGTTATTCTAGAGGATAAAATTCAATAAATAAATAATTAAAAACAAATTACTAGTGGCATGAAACGGCCATTTTATTTTGAATATCAATAATTCTGTCTGTTGTCATTTTTTGTCATCCATTTTTAATCTAATGAACAGTGTTGCCAGCTCTAAAAAAGGTTGCTATGTACAAGGCTCGCACCATTTGTAGATCTGATGACGTCATTATCAGACCTCTTAAGTTGAATAATGAGTTGTAGAAAGCGCTTCTGTAGTTGGAGCTTTTTGAATAGTAGCACGTAAATAATCAAGTGTAATTTTAATAGGCCGATTTGAAAATTCATTTTGGATTTTTAGTAATTCTACTCTGACTGTTCCAAGTGCACTGACTCTTTTCAAATTTATTCAACTGTCTGAACTATTTTGACAGTTATCGTTTCAATTCTCTTTCAGTTGCACTAACTCTATTTAAATTACTCTAATAACTATTACATCTGCATTAATTCTATATAGCTTTGTTCCAACGCAATAGAAAACCGTAATATTACCGTCAGGATTCTACGCAAAACTTAAAATTTTTGCGAAAAAAACGAAATTCGTAAACAGAGTGATTCCAAAACTGTTCTGGGACGGTTTTTTGACAAGTTGGAACAAACCCTATATATGAATTCCTTCTGGGTGGGTTCAGCTTGCTCACTCCGTGCACTCGGAGTGAATCCATTCGCACTCCAGCCGTTCGGGTTAAGGTTCGGGTATTGCTTTTTACCGTATTAGGGGTGACTCCATTAGCTCTGTTCACTCCACTGCAACTCCGCAGCTACTATTGTTCGACTTACTATAAGTGCCGGTACTTTTGCTCGCATTTGACATCCGTTAAAAATAATCAGGAGTGTGCAACCACATCATACTATAAGTTTAGTTCGGAATTGGATTTTCGTGCACTGCTAGTGCGGTGTTCGTGTAGTGTAGTGTTATATCACGTGATGAAGGTGTAATGGCCAGTGTAAAACCAAATCATGTAATCATGTAACACCATCATTTTGTACCGAGTAAACGGTGTTTCAACATCTTCACATCATTCGGAAACCAAATTATTTCCAAACGCAAAAAAGTGTACACCAAATACCCCTAGCAATTATCAAACGCTGTGTTAATAATATAAAAAGTGTCGACACTTTCGACCATTCCGAACTCACCTATAGACCTTGGCCAATGCAAAACTTTGACAGCGCATCAAATTCGTTAATCGAGAGCAAAAGTATCGGCCCTAAGTGTTCAAATTGTTTTAATTTCTGTTCCATCTGGATTAACTCTGTTCCGTTCGCTTTACTCCGATTGTTACTGTTCGACATTGAGATTCTTGTCCCCAGGGTCCTTATTCTTGAAAAAAGGGAGCAGCGTTCCCAAGAGAACGAGTGTTTTAACTCTGTTACTTATATTATCATTTGCATATCATTGAGAATGGCGAAACACTCGTTCTCCGACTGGGAACGTTGCTCCCCTGTTTCAAGAATAGGGACCCTGGCGTAATGTTACGCTCATGAGAACTCGCTCATAATGGTAAAATATTCGCCATGCTGGAGATTTTACCAATCAAATTACACCATATACCCTCCTGCCCCCTGACGAACCATGCGTTCGATATTTTGATCTCAGTTCTCCGTGCATTAATTTATCGTTCGTTTATTTAAAAAGTGAACTTGGTGCAGGCTCATTCACGTTCGTTTATTAAAATTTCGAGCCATCTGATACAGCGTTTAACTGCTCTGTGCACTCGCTGGTCACGTGATTACAAAATACCGAACGCAAAAGCCGCTTTCCAGTATGCACATTGGCGCGCTCTAGAGCACTAGATTTGTACCGTTCCAGTATCATGGCGTGAGACGCCTGTCTTACCTTGCGTTCGGTATTTTGCTCAAAGAGCAGAGCGTGCCGAGCGGAGCCATAATCACGTGACCAGTGAGCGAACAGAGCAGTTGAACGCTGTATAAAAGTGCCAGAAATTTTAATAAACGAACGCGAATGAGGCTGCACCGAGTACACTTTTTAAATAAACGAACGGTAAAGTCAAGCTCGGAGAACTCGGACCAAAATAACGAACGCACGGTAAGTGTCAAATATGTCAAATTTTAAAAATAATTATCTGTGTGTGTGCAGTTTGTTTTTTTATTTATCAAAAATGAAAAAGAATCAAAACTATATTTTTTAAAATGTTCAATCTTGAGATATAACAAGAAATAAATAAATAAATAACCACCCACGGATGTGACAGCTGACAAGTTGACGCGTACGTACAGCTCGGGAGCTCAACGCCCCGAGTAGCTCCGGGCGTCACACTCCCATACTGGAAAGCGGCTAAGGGAACCTTCACAGAGCTTCAAGCACCGCGGTGGCTATGTTCCGATATCAACTGTCAGTTTTGAAGTTACTAGACGCCGTTCCGATTTTATTTTTAGTTCGATTATACAGTAAGTACTCCTTTCACACCTAGGACGAGCTCTGGAACAGCTCCAGGGCGTTACGCGCTTATTCCTTTCGAAAAGTGTTTGTTGCACCTGACTGCTGAAGTCCGACTCAACCCATTCAAATGCATCACAGCCAGCGCCTCTGTTCCTTTCAAATCGAGGTCGACTAACACCGGAGCGAGTAGTTCTAGTGTTTCAAGCTCTTGAAAGGAATACAACTAATGACGGTATGGATGCGCCAGTGACGTCAATAATATTTACTGGACGAGGATTCTTAAATCACGATTCGTCACACGACTCGAAAACGAGACGAATTTTTCCGACGATCCTAGGTTGGAATCTCATTGGAATCATATTACCTTTCGAAATGACAGGTTCGGTATCGAGTTTTATTTGAATTCCTTCTATTGTTCGAGTTACTCTAAGTGTTCCAATTGCTTTAATTTCATGTTCATTTCTAACTCTGTTTTGTGTGCACTGGGGCGAGTTCAGAAATGACACACCCAGTGTGAGTGTGACACCGGTGCGACGCCCTAGCTGTTCAAAAATTCTAGGAGATGCTATGGGCTCAATGGCCAATTGTCAATTCAAGCACACCCATAAAATCGCACTCGCACCCTGTGCGTTATTTCTGAACTCGGCCCTGCTCTGATAGTTACTGTCCGAATTACTCGAATATGCTACTAAACAATGATTTTTTTCACTAGCCCGGAATTACAGAAGCTCTGCAATGCCAAGATACACTTGGCCAAACATAAAACTGGTACAGGCAATATATATTTTTAAAATTGCCTAGTGTGAGTCAGGCTTAACAACAAAAAGTCTGTTCTGAAACACTTAGGTCCGACCAATGAACTAGAACTCAAAACTGGAATGCGCACACAGTGCCATATCTGCCAAAAAAATGAAGCCATGAAAGACAGATGCCACAACGGGGAATGTTTTCTTTTTCTGTTGCTCGCTGACATATGACGTTTTCGAAAGTTTTGTCATATTTCCCTTCACAGGTTTCATCAATTGGAATACGTGTTGGAAGCAATTTTCGCCATTTAACATAATGAGTGCGACAAAAACAGGTATCCCCTCCGCAGCAGCCGCACTAGGCTTCACGTTCGTCCTTCTGTGTTAGCATTCCAGTTTTTGGTTATAGTTCATTGGGTCCGACAGTTTTATTCAACGTCAAACCTGTTTTTATGTTATGATCAATGAACTGTTATGATTGGTTCAAATATGACACTGACTTGACTATTCTTGTCATTGTTGAGGTGATAAAAAAGGCCGATCTACACAATACAACACAATAGGAAAATGCGTACCAGTTTTATGTTTGGCCAAGTGTACAAATGCAGGACCTGCAAATCTGACTTTTCGTATTATAGAAGTAGAATGCATTTGCAATAGTCGTCTGCAAATTTGCGCATGGTGAAACGGTCTCGCAAGTCCTTGCAGTCACTTTGACAACTTTGACATTTAAAACTGGTGAATTAATAGCGCCCAAACATTTTTTCCCGATAAATATGACGAAATTGCAGGTTTTTTTTCTGTAAGGTGAGTTCGGCTTGCTCACTCGGTGCACTCCGAGTGTCTCCATTTGCACTCCAGCCGTTCAGGTATGGCTTTTTGGCGTATCAGGGGTGACTTCATTAGCGTTCGACTCTACGGAGTGAAGTAAATGGAGTTCACTCCAAAAGTTCTACCTCCGAAAGAGAATCTTTTAGAGTAAGCATGCGCAGAGTTGAAATGTGGAAACTGTCAAGCTTGTTCTGTTGTTACGTTGTAGTTGTTGTTACAAACATTGGTTACAAAAATTGAAAAACGTTTATGTGTGGATGCGGGGCTGATCTTAAAATTGATTAAATATGATGGAAAAATTTCTTTGACAAAGTTAAGCCTAGTACTCATATTTGACAATTTGACGTTTGATACACGCATAAAACGTCAATTTGTCAACGCACTGTCAAAAAATGCGAATTTCGCAGTTATGAGTACTAGGCTTTAAACAGAGGCAAAAACATCAATTATTCATTATTGTGAAGGAATTGAAGTTAATTTATAGTAGCACACGGAAGGCCAAAGACAACAGTGAGAAAAAAATTGTGCTGGAACGTTGTAAAGTCGTTGGCTGTTGTTTTGTTTTGAAACAAATCAGCTGTTTGACATTTTTACTCCGACCGTTCCAGTCTTTCGTGTATTAATTTTTTACTCTAATCATTCCTAGATCACGTGACACAAATCCGTTCTTACTCCTCTCCAACTCCGTGCTGAATAGCCGAACCCAGCTCCTATTTGCTCGTTTCTACAAATAGAGCACATATTGCAAGTCGGCCATATTTGCAGAACTACAAATATATTGTAATTTGGCCCTAAACAGTAGGCTGATTTGAAAAATAATTTTGGGTTTTTAGTAATTCTACTCGGATAGCGTATTTTATTAGTAGAACAAGTGCAACACTCGTTTCGCACTGACACTTTGAAAAAACTGCACGAGTGCAGTCCCAAATGGTGCGTACGATTTGTCTGAACCGGTTAGCGTTGGTGCGGTGCAGTTATTTGCAGTTATTATTCAGAGTTGTTTTCTCGCGGTGGAACTGGTTCGATCCGGTTCGATTAAGTTCGAACCTGTACATTCTTGCGTTGAACCAGTGACGTCACATTGAATCTGGTTCAAAAAAAGTTCGAACCGGACTCATTGGTTGTTCTCCGTTGACATAAGATTGTGGTTCAAACCTTCCATTTTCTCGCGTTCACAAATGGTGACGTCATCTACAAATTGGTTTGAACCGTAGTTCGAACCATTCGCCCCGCGAGAAACCGCCGCAGGTGATCGCAGATTAGAAAAGTTGAACGGTAAATGACAGTAAAATCAGTGCAGTAGATCCAGTACTGGCAGTTAATATCGCAATATAGCCGTGAGATGACGGGTCAAGCTACATCCTCAATCAATCTGGTAGCGAAGTGGCACTTCGGCACGCTTGCTGGGAAATTGATACCCATCCTCAATGCTGTCAATTTTCAGTCTGCTCTGCGTGTAGTACGGTCACGAACCGTGCGTTCGGTATTTTGATCTGAGTTTTCCGAGCATAAATTTACCGTTCGTTTATTTAAAAAGTGTACTCGGTGCAGGCTAATTCACGTTAGTTTATTAAAATTTCGAGCCCTCTGATACAGCGTTTAACTGCTCTATACGCTCGCTGGTCACGTGATTACAGCTCCACTTTGCTCTTCGAGCAAAATACCGAACGCAAGGATAACCTGAATTATTTTCTACCATACTGCGCATGACACAAGTCAGCACGCGTCGAAAAAGCTTGCAGCTTGCAAGCTTGCACTTCAAAGTCGGCGTGCATGCTAGCACGGAATTGAATTGAGGATGCCAACGTTAAACAACATTGTCCTACTAGCATGCGTGCCGAAGTGCCAATTTGCTACCAGATTGATTGAGGATGAGCCTTCAGGATAAAAAGTGTCAGTAAGTGGACTTATCGTACGCACCAAATGAAACATCATCGTACTGAGCCGCTTTCGGGTGCTCCTAATACACTTGACACCTGGGGGCGGATTACGAACTCTCGATTCGAACCGAAACCGCCATGGATTTCCAACGCCCTCCATGCGAAAGCATCAAAATGCGTTCGAAATCCATGGCGGTTTCGGTTCGAATCGAGAGTTCGTAATCCGCCCCCTGGGGTGCGATTTTCAAAACCATTCGAGTACATTTCGTACACGAAATTTGACTGCTCCCCATTTAATTTACATTGCTGTCAGTCAAATTTCGTGTACGAAATGTACTCGAATGGTTTCGAAAATCGTACCCCTGTTCATACTCCATGCGTTTTGCAATCTATCGTTTGAAACCGAACGGGTCAAACTGTAGCCGGAGTACTTCGGAGTAAATCGGGAGAGCTCGAAGGATGGCACCCGAAAGCAGCTCTGCAGTGCACCATCCCATATACTGTATTCCTTTTATACATCGAGTTACGACGAACGTGTTGCTCTAGAGCTCCTCGGAGTCACTCCAAAACACACAATTCAGATATTATCATTATTCTTTAATATTGACATAAGCTAACAGGGCTGCTTGCACCACCCGCAGATTGGGTGCATCAAGGGTAAAGGGGATGCACTATGAGCGACTCTGGTTCTTAACGCACTTTTAAGAGGAACGTTCAAACTTTTGAGATTGAGCAGCTCCGAGTAACTCAACGGGTAAAAGGAATACAGTAATATACGTCAAACCTCAAATATGGAATTTCATTTAAAAAAAATGATATTTGTGCTTATTATAAATAATTTAATTTAGAAAAAAAGTTCTTCCCTCTCTGCTAGAAACCCTAAATATTCTTCCTCAATTTCAAAAATAACAAATTTGAACAACTGCACTGAGTACGACACGAGCTTTTTAGCTGGTGGCGCACTCAGTGCAAAACTCAGTCCATTGGGGCGAGTTCAGGAATGACACACTTTTAAAGGGTGGGTATTATAAAACTGCTTTGACAGTTAACTTTTTGAATTACATGTAATTCCAGAAGTTAACTTTAAGTTAACTCTCAAAGTGCTTTTATAATACCCGCCCTAAGTATTCATAAATGCTATAGGCACACCGAGTGCGCGCACTCTGTGCCGTTCAGAAAGTACTTTGGGCGCGCTCCAGGTGTCGCACCAGTCACACCATAATTTTTTGGTTTGGCTGCGGTGTGATTGTGTCTTTATGTCAACAATGTCAACCATTCCTCCCATAAGCTTAGTACTCAGCCGCTTTCCAGCTGTGTGCTTCAAGCACGGTGCAGCACAGTGTTCTGTGTTTGAAACGCAAAAAGTTACAAGCTCTCAAAGCGCAGTACGGCTGGAACACGAACTCGCGCTTGAAGCATTTGCGCACGCAAAAACTCGATTGCATGCTCAAAAGCGTCAGCTGGAAAGCGGCTCTCATAACTGCGAAATTCGCATTCAAATTGTGAACGCGATGTCAAAAAATTGCGAATTTCGCAGTTATGAGTACTAGGCTTTATGCGTGAATCAAACATCAATTTTTCGAAGCAATGTCAAAAAAGTGCGAATTTCGCAGTTATGAGTACTAGGCTATAATCTCAATAATCCCACCAAATATAAACAAAACACAAATAAGAATTAAAGTGTTTTCCTTCAAATTAAAAAAATGAACAAAAAAAAAATAATCCTAATAGATTTTGTGAAATTTTTGAACGAAAGTTGTCGCCTAAGAATTGTCATTTCAGACACACCCATAAAATCGCACTCACACCCGGTGTGTTATTTCTGAACTCGCCCCAGGTGGCGCACTCAGTGCAAAACTCAGTGCATTGCTTTCTCAACTTGAGTTCGGAATGGGATTTTAATGCAGTGCTAGTGCGGTGTTCCTGTAGTGCAGTGTAAAATCAGATGAAGGTGGAATCGGCGGTGTAACACTGAATACACCATCAATTTGTACCGAGTAAACGGTGTCCCACCATCTTCACACCATTCGGACACCAAACTATTTCCAAACACAAATAAAGTGTACACCAAACACTCCTACCAATTGACGAACGCCACAGTGTCAATGGTGTAGAAAGTGTCGACACTTTCTACCATTCCGAACTCACCTTCAATAAAACTACAAAAGTGCAGCGCGTACTCTGCCAATGGATTACGAATATTGCACCAGTGTTGCACTTGCTCTACTAATTAAATACTCTATGACTGTTCCAAGTGCACTGACTCTTTTTGTTCTGTTCAACTGTCCGAACTACTTTGACTCTTTTAATTCTGTTCCATTTGCACTAACTCGATTTATATTTTTCTTTAATGGGAAAAATTTAATTATAAAATTGATTAAACAAAAATTTCCATTGGCATTAAGCTATAGGGAAGAATTCTTAAAGACGGCAACACTGTTTTACTAGTGACAACTAAAAAGTCAATGTTTGTGAGGTTAGAAAACCCATAAATCTCATGTCAAAAATATTTGTTTTTGTTTATCAAAAAAAAAAAACAAAAATTAGTGCCAAAAGTTATCGCAAAATTGATTAATAATTTAAGATTTTCGCAGTTGCGAATTGATATTCAAGTTTAATGGAAGTGGCCCTGGACGGTGTAGTGGAAGTGGGCCTTGCTTTTATTTCCAATAATATCGCCCTCATCAAACGCAGTAATATGCAGTCGAAAATCATGAATCCCTTTTGTACTGCAAAATGTTCATCAGAAGTAAGTAAATGTTATATCAAGTAATTTTATAACTAATTTGTATTATTTCTGCCAGATGGTGAATAGTAAGCTGCAATGCAGTTGCGGTGAAGATACAGCTTTATTTGATTGGGCCTGGCAAAAAAACACAGAAGCCAAAAACATTAATGTATACAAAGGCAACAAAGAAGTATTATTTCATCCTACCTACAGTTCAGGAACTGCTTTGGTTCGTGGCCAGCACTCTTTCCAACAAAATTTCCATTACTATTGGGAAATTAAAGTAGTTTCTCGCTTGTACGGTACTGATGTTATGATTGGAGTTGGAACCTCAAAAATGACCTCAGAAGATTGCCGTTTCCAATTTTGTAGCCTACTAGGCAAAAGTGCCGAATCCTGGGGCTACTCCTACCAAGGCTACATACAGCATAACAACCTCAAAAGAAAATACGGCTCTGAATACGGCTTGGGCAGTATTATTGGTGTACACTTAGATATGTGTCAAGGCACTTTGGAATACTATTTCAATAGAAAACCATTAGGCATTGCCTTCAAAAACCTAAAAGACAAAGTCCTTTATCCAATGGTATCGTCAACTGCTGCTCAATCCTCCATAAGAATCACCTGTGCAATTTCAAAAGCAGCCACTTTGCAAATGAGTTGTTTGAATCAAATAATGAACATCCCAAGCGTTTATAATCAATACAAACTCATACCGGGTCTGACTAAGCTCTACGAAAAAGAGTTTTTCTGGTTGAAGCCAAAACCTTGCAAAGAAGCTCTGGAACGGAAAAGACTTGCTGAAATCGAGGATGAAGTGACGCTATCGGGGGCGTCCAAATGTTTTTCTGCAAGGCACAAAAAAATTAAAAGGATTTACAGGCAACTGCCGGCACTTTTAGATGGACACAGTTTTGCTATTTATCGGGACATGGTGCCTTCTACTTCTGCTACGCCTGATATTACTTGCACTGCATGCAATGAGGTTATAGGGGACAGTAGTGATAGTGATACTTGAATATATTTTGTTTTGTGATTTATTTATTTTTAATTAATAAAACAATATAATTATTATTATTTACTAACAGTTGTTGGAAGAGAGAGATGGTTATAATGCTTTGTTTTTTTTAATAATGATTGTCACAATAACAAAATTATCTTATAAATATATACCTTATTGTTAAGGGAATAATAATAATTTAATAAATTTGCAGTTAATTTTATAATATATTTTTTTTTAAGACTGGGCAAGGGCACGAATATTTTACAAATATATCGATTTATATTAAAATATATTGTAAAAATACATTATTTTATGATGGAACTAATCCAAAACGACTTATTGGAATAGTGGAGCAAATTTTAATCCTTGAAATCAGGAGCAGATTTACTCCATTTGGGGTTGAAATACTCTCTGTGCTCTATAAAATAACTGTTCTAGGACTTCTAGTACAGAGTTGTGTTCTCAAATCGGTGCTAAAAGTACTAAAACAGCCAGTTTTGAGGACCTGTAGTGTGTCCAAAGGACTTGAAATTAGGAGTAAGCTTTATGAGCACTTTGATATTATACTTGTGCCTTTTGAATACACTGCAGTTTACTTTGGAAGTTCTTTAAGTCAAGAAATTGCAAGAATGCACCATCTAATATTTTTTTTTTTTTGTAGAAAATTATTCAAACGAAAATTATGAAATTTTCTGAGCAAAACGAGAAAAGTCAAGGGCGTATCATACTAAAATTTCAAATTTTTCCAGTGAAAATTAACCCCATTGGAAATTAATGAAAATCAACTAAATTAGGCATAAATGCACCATCTAACATTTTATTTTTTTTCTGGAAAACTATTCAGGAGAAAATTATGACATTTTCTGGAAAAAAAGAGGAAAGTCAGAGGCGTATCATAGTAATATTTCAAATTTTTCAAATAGAAACTAATCCTATTGGAAATTAATGAATATCATCTAAATTAGGCATGCACCCCTCTAATATTTAATTTTTTTCCTGGAAAACTATTCAAGGGAAAATTATGACATTTTCTGGAAAAAAAGAAAAAAGTCAGGGGCGTATCATAGTGAAATTTCCAATTTTTCTAGTGAAATAGCCCCATTGGAAATTAATGAAAATCAACTAAATTAGGCATAAATGCATTTATCTAACATTTTATTTTTTTCCTGGAAAACTGTCAAAAAGAAAATTATGACATTTTCTGGAAAAAAAGAGGAAAGTCAGGGGCGTATCATAGTGAAATTTCAATTTTTCCAGTAGAAAATAACCCCATTGGAAATAAATGAAAATCAACTAAATTAGACATAAATGCACTATCTTTTATTTATTTTTTTTTCTGGAAAACTATCCAGGGGAAAATGATGACATTTTCTGGAAAAAAGAAAAAAATCAGGAGCGTATCACAGTATAATTTCAAATTTTATCACTGGAAAATAACCCCATTGGAAATTAATGAAAATCAACTAAATTAGGCATAAATGCACCATCCAACATTTTATTTTTCTTCTGGAAAACTATTCAGTGAAAAATTATGATATTTTCTGAAAAAAAAGAGGAAAGTCAGGGGCGTATCATAGTAAAATTTCAAATTTTTCATATAGAAAATAATCCTATTGGAAATTGATGAATATATCAACTAAATTAGGCATGCACCATTTAACATTTATTTTTTTTTCTGGAAAACTATTCAGGGGAAAATTATGACATTTTTGGAAAAAAAGAAGAAAGTCAGTGGCGTATCATTGTGAAATTTCAAAGTTTTCCATTAGAAAATAACCCTATTGGAAATTAATGAAAATCAACTAAATTAGACATAAATGCACTAAAACCACCCAAGTAGCATTTTGACGAAGACAACCACATAATACACCAAAACTAACGTTGTACTTAGTGTAGAGTTTAGGCATTTACGAAACGACGCTCTCTAAACATCTGGACAACGTCGTTTTAGTGTTGCGCAGGACTTTAGTTAAACTACGACATTGTGACAACGTTTACGCAACCGACTACAATAAGTTAATATTTTGGGAATGGGAATAATTACTATCTAACATTTTATTTTTTTCTGGAAAACTATTCAGAGGAAAATTATGACATTTTCTGGAAAAAAAGAAGAAAATCAGGGGTGTATCATAGTAAAATTTCAAATTTTTCATATAGAAAATAATCCTATTGGAAATTGATGAATATATCAACTAAATTAGGCATGCACCATTTAACATTTATTTTTTTTTCTGGAAAACTATTCAGGGAAAATTATGACATTTTCTGGAAAAAAAGAGGAAAGTCAGGGGCGTATCATAGTGAATTTCAAATTTTTCCAGTAGAAAATAACCCCTTTGGAAATTAATAAAAATCAACTAAATTAGGCATAGATGCACCATCCAACATTTTTATTTTTCTTCTGGAAAACTATTCAGGGGAAAATTATGAAACTTTCTGGAAAAAAAAGAGGAAAATCAGGGGCATATCCTAGTAAAAATTTGAAATTTTTCCAGTAGAAAATAACCCCATTGGAAATTATTGAAAATCAACTAAATTAGACATAAATGCACTATCTAACATTTTTCTTTTTTTCTGGAAAATTATTCAGGGGGGAAAATTATGACATTTTCTGGAAAAAAAGAGGAAAGTCAGGGACGTATCATAGTAAAATTTCAAATTTTTCCAGTGAAAAATAACCCCATTGGAAATTAATGAAAATCAACTAAACTAGGCCTAAATGCACCATCTAACATTTTATTTTTTTCTGGAAACTATTCAGGAGAAAATTATGACATTTTCTGGAAAAAAAGAGGAAAGTCAGAGGCGTATCATAGTAATATTTCAAATTTTTCAAATGGAAAATAACCCTATTGGAAATTAATGAATATCAACTAAATTAGGCATAAATGCACCATCTAACATTTTATTTTTTTTCTAGAAAACTATTTAAGCGAAAATTATGACATTTTCTGGAAAAAAGAGGAAAGTCAGGAGCGTATCATAGTAAAACTTCAAATTTTTTCATTCCAAAATAACCCCATTGGCAATTAAAGAAAATCAACTAAATTAGACATAAATGCATTATCCAACATTTTATTTTTTTTCTGGAAAAATATCTAGGGGAAAATCATGACATTTTCTGGAAAAACGACGAAAGTCAGGGGCGTATCACAGTAAAATTTCAAATTTTTCTAATAGAAAATAACCCCATTGGAAATTAATAAAAATCAACTAAATTAGGCATAAATGCACCATCCAACATTTTATTTTTCTTCTGGAAAACTATTCAGGGGAAAATTATGAAACTTTCTGGAAAAAAAGAGGAAAATCAGGGGCGTATCATAGTGAATTTCAAATTTTTCCAGTAGAAAATAACCCCATTGGAAATTATTGAAAATCAACTAAATTAGACATAAATGCACTATCTAACATTTTTCTTTTTTTCTGGAAAATTATTCAGGGGGGAAAATTATGACATTTTCTGGAAAAAAAGAGGAAAGTCAGAGGCGTATCATAGTAAAATTTCAAATTTTTCCAGTGAAAAATAACCCCATTGGAAATTAATGAAAATCAACTAAACTAGGCCTAAATGCACCATCTAACATTTTATTTTTTTTCTGGAAAACTATTCAGGAGAAAATTATGACATATTCTGGAAAAAAAGAGGAAAGTCAGAGGCGTATCATAGTAATATTTCAAATTTTTCAAATGGAAAATAACCCTATTGGAAATTAATGAATATCAACTAAATTAGGCATAAATGCACCATCTAACATTTTATTTTTTTTCTAGAAAACTATTTAAGCGAAAATTATGACATTTTCTGGAAAAAAAGAGGAAAGTCAGGAGCGTATCATAGTAAAATTTCAAATTTTTTCATTTCAAAATAACCCCATTGGAAATTAAAGAAAATCAACTAAATTAGACATAAATGCATTATCCAACATTTTATTTTTTTTCTGGAAAAATATCTAGGGGAAAATCATGACATTTTCTGGAAAAACGACGAAAGTCAGGGGCGTATCATAGTAAAATTTCAAATTTTTCTAATAGAAAATAACCCCATTGGAAATTATTGAAAATCAACTAAATTAGACATAAATGCACTATCTAACATTTTTCTTTTTTTCTGGAAAATTATTCAGGGGGGAAAATTATGACATTTTCTGGAAAAAAAGAGGAAAGTCAGGGACGTATCATAGTAAAATTTCAAATTTTTCCAGTGAAAAATAACCTCATTGGAAATTAATGAAAATCAACTAAATTAGGCATAAATAAACCATCTAACATTTTTTTTTTTTTCCGGAAAACTATTCAGGAGAAAATTATGACATTTTCTGGAAAAAAAGAAGAAAATCAGGGGCGTATCATAGTAAAATTTCAGATTTTTCCAATAGAAAATAACCCCATTGGAAATTAATAAAAATCAACAAAAGCAGGCATAAATGCAATAAACTATTCAAAGGAAAATTATGACATTTCCTGGAAAAAAAGAGGAAAGTCAGGAGCGTATCATAGTAAAATTTCAAATTTTTCAAATGGTAAACAACCCTATTAGAAATTAATGAATATCAACTAAATTAGGCTTAAATGCACCATCTAACATTTTATTTTTTTTCTGGAAAACTATTCAGGAGAAAATTATGACTTTTTCTAGAAAAAAAGAGGAAAGTCAGGGGCGTATCATAGTTCAAATTTTTCCAGTAGAAAATAATCCCAGTGAAAAACTAAATAATTTGATAATGCATATAATTATAGTATTTTAGGCGTACTATAATGATTTTTGATAGTACATAGTACATGACCATTCAATTATAGTACAAATACTATAATTATAGTACGGTTGGCAACACTGAGTTAATGTTTCGTCTACTGATGTGGCAGTGTAGTAGAGGACGCAACCAGCAATTTTGACTCAAATTTCTGTTTTCTTTAGACAAAGACAATTCAATTATGTACCTGAAATGAAGAAAATATTCATATTTTTACTTATCAACAATTTCTGTCAAATTTTTCTTTTAATTCACTTATCAAAATATATTTTCTTTCTCATTTTCTCCGTTTCAATTTTTGTCTATTCCCGGCTCTTGAATTTCTCATTTTTTCCAAAAGTTTTTCAAATAAAGAAAATTCACCAGCCTGGAATAGAGAAAATATTATTATCAATCAAGTTTTCTCCTATAATTTTTTAATTTTTCTTAAACTTCCCCTCGCACAATATCTCAAACTTTCCATCTAGAATCTCGTCTAAAATTCTGTTAGGTACCTATCTTCACATGAAAAGAGAATTTAAGAGCCTGGTTATAGAGAAAATACGTGATTTCCTATACTTTTCAACCAATTTTCATTTTTCAGTTTTTCTTAAACTTTCCATTTCTTAAATTATCTTCTAGTCCCAAAAATGTATTGAATGTTCATATTCTATGTTATTGTTCTCAAATTTGGAGTTATGGGGATAAAACCCCACTAAGAATAGAAAAAGTAAATTTTATAATTTTTCAATTTTTCCAAACATTTCAACCTCAAATCTCGGCTCTAAATGATCAAATTAAAGTCGAAATTTCAACATTTTTGAAGATATCTACCTATATTTTGAAATACAAAATTGTTTTGGATTAGTCCGTAATCTACAGTATAACTTTATACATATAAAATCAACTTTTAAAACAAAATCTTTGGCATGTGGTAAACAGTCTTGTAAGGAAATAATTTTTTGGTCAATACAAGTGAGTTTAAGTAATTGCCTTTTCATATGGTGGCGGTGGCGATTGGTCGTCGTAAATCCGGATTTCCTCCAAATCGTTTTGATTCGCTAATCTTATGGCGATATGATAAGGCGGAGGCGACATTTCTTGGACGTCCGCTATGGATAATCGGGTGGGTCTTTGGTAATCTACTGATGGTCTTTCTTGTAAGTCGTTATTCAACTATAAAACCATAAATGTTTATGTGTTTAAGGGCCAAATTATGGACCGACTGATAAGTGTCAGCAGGTACTTTCTATTCTCTAAAGCGTAGAAAGTACCTGCTAGGTAACAATCAGTTGTTCCATAATTTGGCCCTAAATGATAAATACCTGATTGGGGCTGGTTGTTTCCAGGGTTTGTTGACTAGTCGTTGCACTGTTTTGTCTTTCGTCCAGATACAATATTATAATGCCTCCAAGTAAAAGTACAACTAAAGCCACTGAGATAATGACTAAAGTTTCTACACCTAAACGCCACAATTGCTGCAAGGATTATCAAAATTTGATTAAAACATCTAGTTTTTGTGATAAGAAGATGCTCTCATACTATTCTTATAGATAAGTTGAGAATATTCTTATAAAAGTCATGAGAATTATCATGTCTACCAACGTTACAGTGAAAACTAAATATTGATAATGTAATAGTTAGGTATAGCTCTTCTCATTTTTACATTCATATTGAGTTGAGACGACTTTTCTTATTGAAAGTTCTTCTATGTGAGAAATCTGTCATGGTGGATATGAAATCTACTTACTCCTGAACTCAAATAGTTTGCTCCAAACATGACGCAAATGGAGAATAAGGCGAAAGCCAGTAGGGCAAATTTGAATTTTCTTATGTAGGATTCCAGCTCGTTATTGTCCAGAGTCTGTGGACTGGTTTGTTCGACATTGTCCAGGGACCTTTCGCGTTCTAACCTCGAAGGACGACTACTTGTAACACTAAAATAGAAATAGAAAATAGGTATTTGAGCCGAACAAATCCCTATAGTACCTAATTGAAATTATCGATCTGACCCCTTTCTATCAGTTATCTTTACAGAAGGCGGTCCGAATGAAATAATTATAAAACGAGATTCCTGACCCTGAAGATGAACCCATAAATTAGACATCAAAAGACATTGATCACAATGCTAACTTGTTTAATTGTATACACGCGTTGTCGGCGCTTTTGTAACGCTAACACGATCTTGCGACATATTTGACCTCGATAAATACTAAAATTAGGACACGCAGGTACCGATTCACTATGATCACATTTTTTTGGAGATAACGATTCCTAGAAATAGTGGTGATGAATTTAATATCACGCGGAGATTTATGGTGGGATTGAATACTATTTAAACAGATTACAAACAGAGGATTGATATAGATGAGCATCAGCAGTTGATTCATAGTAAGATAGTAGTAGAGAACAGTAGAAATTCGTAGTGATTTCGTAGTCTGAGTTCCTGCCTCGGGCCCAAACTAAAGTCGCAATTTGATCGACTATTGACAAGAATGATAAGTTAAGAAGTTATAAGTTAATTCAAATATCTTATTCGATTTTGTGCGTGCTAAGCATTTAGAAATACTTTGATAGTTAGAGCCAGTTTAGTGAAGTTAAGGACAATTGTAAGTAGTTATAAGATAAGAAGACTTTTTTTTTGAATTTCACTTGCAGTGACTATACAGGGTGATTTACGTAGCTCGTGCATCATTGCAGGTGGATTAGATGCTATATCTCTTAATTTACCTGCAATCTGGAAAATTTCTGGATGGAGAGGCTATGCAAAAGGTACCTACATAAGGGATGAAGTGTTGTCAACCAATTCACTCCACCCTAATCAACGCACACAGGGTCGCTAAGCGAGTGAAAAAATTGCTGGAAAATAAAGAGTACACCCTCGACATTGAGGAGGCCTTTGACAAAACCACCTTTCAAAAAATTAGCCACTCGCCAACAGAAATAAATACTCCGGAAACTGTTACCAGATGGATATTGCAATATGTTTTCCAGAAGAATTCTACAAATGAGTGTGCAGGACGTCAACATTAAAGGAATGGTCACAAGAGGCTGCCCGCAGGGAGGTGTGCTATTGTTACCACCGCCACCTGGTTGCGACGGTTGGGTAAGGAAGACTTTGTTTTAGCACTGGTAAAGGCCTTTTTTTTACTGCAGTAGCGTGCCACCAGGGACTTTGTTTAAAGTCCCACTGAAAATCTAGGTAACTTTGAACGAATAATCTTCAGTAATCTAATGAGATTGCCTCTTCCAGTGCGGGTTCTTGCTACTTGAGCTGTACGCAGTTAGTTGGAATGCTAGCTCGGGGTTTTCCAAAGGAAATAAAAGAATCAGTTTTTTTTACTAAACTCTAACAATGGTTTATTGAACAAATGGTAAAGGAAATAAGGAAATGAGAGCAAAGCAAAGAATATAGAGTAAGTTATTAACAAAGTTTACTGAAATGAAATGAAAGAAAATACATACGGAGATTTGGAATGATAGGGAGTGAAATCAATGAGCGTCCTGTATAGGGCGTTCCATGATGGTACAAGTTACATGAGAAATTAAAGATTAAAAGATACAGAAAATAAAGACTATATGTTATAATTCTTGGGTAAAAGTCACGGGCGTCCTCGACAAGAGAATGACAAAACGGCCTTGTTATTCAGGGTAAGATATGTTGGAAAAGAGATTTGAGTTGTGAAGCTAACCCAATGGTTTTGTTCTTTACACAGGGGAGAAAATAAATAATAGACAAAAAACAACAATCATGACGAATAAATTAAAATATTTGAAATTGAAACATTACCTAAAGTCTCGGAAAGTGAATCAACAGAAAGACGTCAACACTAAACATCAGAACTTCGTTACAGAACTGAATGAATCTAGGAGGCTCATAGGCTTATTCATATTGGGCAGCTTGATTACGCTTTTGGGATTCTTATCGGTCGCAAAACATGGGGTTTGTTCATGGAACCAGGAGTCGAAAGTCGTGTTTTAAGACACAGTAATCACACTCTTTCGGAAACCGACTGATAACCCTTGGCTCTTGGACACGGTTTCGTCAGAAATTTAGCGATTCTATCTCGCTGGGTAAAAAAAAAACAATTAATTGTATTACGAAGCAAAAAAAAAGGATTTTCAGGCCGTTTTTTTTATTTATACTATCACCTCTCCTGTGGAACATGGTTCTAGACAGCCTTATTGTTCGCCTAAACATGACAGCCTCTAAGTCAATATAGCTTACGCAGATTACATAGTCATCTTGCATAGAGGTAAATTCGAAAGCTCGTTCTGCGAACGCATGCAAGATGCTCTTAAGAATACACTGTGCATCAACCCCTAAAAGAATGAAATGGTCCTATACACAAAAAAAAGGACACTGGTACTTTCTACAGCACTCAAACACCGAACTAAGTTTTCCCACCGAGGTCAAATATCTGGGAGTATTGGGAGTAATACTCGATTGCAAACTAACATGGGACTTTCATATTGTTGAGAGAATACAGAAAGCATGTATCGTTTTTTCTGTTACGAATGGATTGGATAATAAGGAAAAGAAAGTTTGGACTTTAAAGAGGTAAAATAAAAATTGGTTTAGTTTGTTTATCTGTATTCGGATTATGAATTTAGGGTAGGTACAAATGAAAGACTATCTGTCATGTTATAAGAACCTATATGTTATTTTGATTATAAATTTCATATTTCCGAATGTAGGTTTAACATTTCCGAAGAATAAATATGATAAGTGTGGAAGATTAGATTCTGTAGAGTTAAATTAGTATTGTTGTGAAAACTTAATGTTTTGTTTTGCTCTGTGGTAGCTATGTGTAGAGGGTACTTATAGAAAATGATAATTAATTGAGTGATGGCAGTAATCACTTATTCACAAAATAGAAGTTTTTTAGACGTCTTGATGAGGTCTATGAAACACATAAACGCTGATTTGTTGAATTCGGTGCATGGATTTTTCAGTTATTTGGCGTCTATGGTCGATCTATGTAGTCATATGAATAAAGTGCAGCAAATGCTTTTACTCTACCTCCGTCTCTTTTTGCTGCATTAAAGCTGAATAATGTTGTCTCAAAAAACATAAGCAAAAGCATTTGCTTCTGTTTTATTCATATAAGACAACGTGTCTGAGTCTTTGTTGCTCTTCACACATTCCAGTCTTAGCCACTTCTTCTGATAATATTTTTGTCGACAGCTTCGAAACTGAGTTCAGAGGGCTGATTCCTCTGTAGTTTTTGAGGTCTGTCTTCTCTCCTTTTTAAAAAACGTCCATTTCCGACGTCTGTATATGAGGTTTGAAGTTATGATGATATTTGCACACAGTTTTTTGTTGTTAACAAATGAAGTAACACGTAGTAGACTTGCAAGCTTGTTTGCTACCACGTTAAATCATGTAAAGGTACCTGTATTTGTGTGTCATTCAAGATTGTATCATTTATTATTTTTATTTATCAAGGTAATCTTATGCTCGATTTTGTCGATTAAAGCATTATTTCTGGGGTATTTGCATTATTACAATTTAATCGACATTATGGACAAGCTCCTGAGACCTGAAAGGTTTGATACTGATCCCAGCTCATTAAATGCAGCGTAGAAAGTGCGTATAATATCACCAGTTCTCTATAAGAGACGATCAAAAACAGTCCACTTACTTTTGAAGCTGATGGAAACCTGTACCAGTTTAATCGTATCCCTTTTGGTGTGACTAACGGCATAGCTTGTTTTCAAAGAGTCTTAGATACAATAATCAAGCAAGAGACTAGAAGGCGTTTACGCATATCTCGACGATATTAAAATTTGTGGAAAACATCAAGAAGAACACGATCAGAATCTCAGCTTTTCTGACAAAAGTACAACCTAACTATAAATTGAAGTAGAAGTTCGTTGAATAAAAAGACAAGTGGCATGTTCGCTCATTACTCTTCTAAATGGATACCTAGATTCTCCAAGAAAATTCATAGAACTGTTAGTACCAGAAACCTTCCTATGCAAGAGCCTGATGTTTTTTGACGATTTTCACAACTTAAAAACTGAAATAGCAAAATCAGCTATTACTATTACTGCCATTGAAGAAAGTATTTCATTTGTAGTGAAAACAGACGCTTACGAACATTCACTAGCAGCAATTCTAAGCTAGTCTGGACGACCAGCTGCGTTTTTCTCAAAAACTCTATCATATAGTGAACAAAACCACTCAGCATTTGGAAAAGAAGCACTTGCAATTGTAGAAGCTGTGAAGAAATGACGTCACTTACTTTCTTACTGCAAGGCATTTCAAGTTGAAGATGCATTGCATTCTATCCGATCTTGTTGCAACAAATCAAACACCTTATGAACGCATGTTTAAATATTCTCGTAAATCTAGCAACGTACAAGCTATTTCTTCATGGCTTTCAAATCCTAGCCCGATATAGATGAAAAAGAATGTTAGGAAAAGTAAATACGACCCGTTTGTGAAGAAGGTGTACCTACTTGTTGGAATCAAACCTAGAATATGCGTTTGTTCGATTTCCCGATGGTAGAGAAAATACTGTCAATCTAAGACATTTCTAGCACCACGTGAAAGTGCACCTGACGATGATGATAGTGGAAATTCCTTTCAATCTCGTAACGAACCAGAACAAGAAAGTAACTCCTATAAACAAGATGCACAAACACCTCATAATCAGAATGATGATCCGGAAGAAAATCCACACTTGGATACATCCGGAGATGAATTCATATTAGTCCGACCCAAAAGAAACCGTCAATCTCCAGAGTATACTTGACAGATTATGTTTCAAAATAGGGGAGAAGATGGTGATACATCTTTATGTTTTAATACCATGTCTATATCTGTATTTGTGTGTCATTCAAAGATAATAAGATATGATGACGATTCTGCAGTAAAATGGGTAGCAATCAAATTATTCCATTGCAGCTTATGTGTTTATTAGTCTGGTTCTGTCTTTTTACAGAATATTATCAAGGATAAAAGACAAAAAGACTAAGAAGCTTTATTATAGATGATGAAGAATCAAAGACAATTGACGTTTTAGAGCTTGAAGATCTTCTAGCGATGATGAACGTTGAAGAAAATTCGCTTTTGACAGCTTTTCTGATTTTTCAAAATCTGACCCTTTGAAAATGAAAGCTTGAGTGCAAACCAAACACACAGAAAATGTACAGCTACATTGAAAAAAAATCTCACTTCCAATTTTTTACTTTTTATTCAGATTCGAAACTTGAATTTTGGTGTTAATTCATAATATTTCGGAAACATTCTAAATTGGGTCAGAATCAAAAATCATAGGTACCTACAGGACTCAACTTCTGCTGAGTCAAATATCAGCTTTCCCAACTTGTTATAATAGGTACCTATTGATTATTAAAATTTCTAATTAGTTTATGTTTAAAGACTTTGGAAAACCTGCTAATTATAGATTAAGTTTATATTTTTTCCCTCAATTGTTGAGGTTTTAGCTAAAACATACCTAAATTTTATGACGATTAAGTTCAAAATGCCTAGCTGCGATTTTTTCAAGTTTTAAAAGTGCACCCAAAAGTCTCTACTTAATTAGCTTAATTTCAAAACTTAGGAAAACTTGTTATAGAGCCAGTTTATATTTTTTTTCCCTAGTTGTTGAAGTTTTAGCTAAAACATACCTAAATTTCATCATGATTAAGCTCAATATGACTTAACTGCGATTTTTTCAAGTTTCAAGTGTACCCGAAATTCTCTAATTAGCTTAATTTTAAAGACTTTGGAAAACCTGTAAATTATAGAGCAAGTTTATATTTTTTTCCTTAATTGTTGAAGCTTTAACTAAAACATACTTAAATTTCATGACGATTCCTAGTTGAAAAGAGATAGAATTCTGTCGGATCATGTAACCGAATCTGCCGATAAAATGGGAATTAGATTGGCACTTGTGGGTAATGTTGCTAAATGTTTTTTTTCTGCAAATCTTCGGTTATTGAATTTAATAATTTAAGGATTGTTGCCAGTTTTTAACGAGTCGGGAATTGATAGGGATATAATTTAAGTAAGTATACTTGCTATAAAATTGTCTTATTGGAATTTGTTTTTTTTTTGGTAGATATTAGTGATTCTTATCAATTTATTAATGAAAATGTAACTTGGGAAAACGACAAACTTTACTAGTTAAAGTAAAACGAAGTTGATGTGGCAACATTGCGACATACTAACGTCATAAATTTTGATGCCCCACATACATTATTTTATTAATTTCCCTATAGCTTAATTTCAAAGATTTTGGAAAACCTGTAAATCATAGAGCAAGTTTATATTTTTTCCCTTAATCGTTGAAGTTTTAGCTAAAACATACTTAAATTTCATGATGATTAAGCTCAAAATGATTTAGTTGCAATTTTTTCAAGTTATAAGTGCACTCAAAAGTTTCTTATTAGCTTAATTTCAGAGACTTTGGAAAATCTGTTAAATATAGAGCAAGTTTATATTTTTTCCATTAATTGTTGAAGTTTTAACTAAAACATACTTAAATTTCATCATGATTAAAAGGGAACTCCAATTTATGATTTCTGAATACCTATTTGAAGTTGCTTAAAAAATTCTTAAGTATCTATTGAAATATCAAATTACAATGTACCTATATGGGAATTTAGTGAGTTTAGGTAGAAGAAAAATCATAACTCAACCCCTGAGCCAAATATCTTGCCTTACCTATTTTATTGAGTTGAGACAGTTTCAATTTAAGATTTTTAAGAATTTGGAATCACGAAATAGTGGAAGATCTGGATTGTAAATGCATTAAACTTGAGGAGAAACGATTTCTGATTTTATTCAATCGAAAACTTGTTCACATTGTTTGGTCCATTGGAACCGGTACCTCTTTCTGAAGTAGGTAAATTATAAAGTGGGTCGGGTCTAATTTTCTTTTCTATAAGTAATGATAATTAACTATTCCTAACCAACTTATAAGTTCAGTCATATATATGATGGATCTTTCAGCAGTTTTTGACATATATTGGGATCCAATATGCCCTACTGATTTTTCAAAAAATCGTTATTGAATGGGCGAGTCTTTCTTCTCTTTTTCTTATAAAAAAAACCTCCAGGGTTTGTTCATTTCTTTCGTTTCAAATGAATGGTGGTTTTTAAAGGACTAGGCAGAAAAAACCCAATTTTTCTGCCTATATGGTCATAGAAAACAAACAACTTACTTGTTATAATAAAGAATATTATTATGGATGGTGGGTCTAGTATTATTGTTGGGACGTTGACCAGGCGAAGTCCTACCATGGTGTCTCAGGCCATTGTTCGAGACACTTTCGAGCGACTGAAAACGACGTACCGGTGTTACCATCGGTTTGGGATGCAACCCCCTCGGACGAATAATCTGGTGTCTAGCTAAAAAGAACAACTACCTAATTATTGTTAATAAACACAGTCTTCCTCCACACAAATGTTTTAATTGAAAATTAAAGAGCCCTACAACATGTTTCCAAGCTATAGAGTTTAGAGAGTGGAGGAAAAATTTGTGTTTCTTTTGATTTCAAATGTTGTTAATAATGGAATATAAAATTTTACCGAGATAATTAGCCACAGCTTCAGGCGGGGGACGAACCAAACGACAAGCCCTCGGCCAATAGTGCCCCTGCTGGTTGCCTTTGTTGATCCAAAAATGCATTCAGAATGATTTTAAATAAACATTTTTGATTCTTATTTGTTTTGCTTCATAATAATAAACAGGCTGGTGCTTGTGCGCAGGAAAATCGGGAAAATCCATGGGAAATCGAGAGGGGAACGCGGTTTAGAGCCGTTTTGGCGTCGCGACGCGCACCGCATGAAAATTCCTACTTGAAATTCTTTTTTATTTTCAATCCAATCAATGTAGAACTTCAACATCATATGCTTCAACTTTAAAGACTTCTCTTTGAATCTTAATATTTTTGTTTTGAACAATATGAAGTCAAAAATACAGATATAATACATTAAGATATTGAAACAAAAAGATAAGATTTTACAAAATGAATAGAAGTTGAATGCAGAGAAGAGTTTAGAGTAAAATTACCTACTTCTATAAGAAGATTCCTAATTGTTCAATACGAATTTTTTTCAGTTATGAAGTATAATTTCCAAAATCAAATCATTTAAAAATTGATGCCATCTATTATTGAGTTGACCATACAATTTCCAAGACGCAATATACATAATGATGATTTTTAAATTGCAATTTAAATCAACTATTACTCATCAATTCAGTTTATGTAGTATGTAAATAACATTGAAAATAACATGTTTGATGCTTTTAAAATTGTCACTTAGTTATCTTACAACGAACAATAAATAACATTATCTTATCGCACAAAACGCACATTATTTGGTTTCATCAATATAATATAGCAGTGCAAAAAATGTTGCTAATAATAATTGTTGCTGGTTTGTTAACATTTTACTATTTGCTTGGGCGTCCTTTGAACTATTGGAAAAATCGCGGAGTGAAACAAGGAAAACCATGGATTTTGTTTGGTGACAGTTTAGGCATAATACTCAGGAAAATGAGTATTGCTGAAGCTGTAACTTCCGTATACGATTTAATACCTCCTAATACACGGTAATGTATACAATTATATGGTGTGGTATATGAATAAAAACGAAGTACTTGCGGTACTACTACAAGTAGTAGTATATTCTACGAAGTATTTACTTCACAGCTAATTTCCGGTAGTTTCGACATGTAGTACCTATCCAGTGGCGGCTCCTCAGAGGAGAAAGCCTCCTTCAAAAAATTGAAAATTCAATCTCAGTTTTTTATTCCTGATTCCTAACAGGGATTCATCAAGCCAAGTAGCTTGAATTTTTTCTTAAATACTTGACTTGAAAACTCAAGCTTTTGAAAATTTGATATTTGACTTGACTTGATTTTCGGTCTGAGCTTCTTGACTTGATATCAAGTAAAATTAGAGGTGAGTTGCGATTTCACAAACTGTGACTTTTTCACTGCTACTCGTCTGTCACAGTCACGGCTTGCTCCAGTCCCACTCAAGTAGCAGGGACATTTTGTCATGGCCACTTCAATCTCTAACCGATACAGCGCGGACTAAACTCAACTTAAAGTGATGCAAATAATGAAATATTATTATAAATCACATTGCGGTGACGCAAAACAGAAACTGCTACTGCAGAGGGCAGACTGAAACTTTTCTCTCGGCCGTAACTGTAAACTGGGCGAACTGCGATTATGTAATGTACCATTTATATGTATTACCAGCACGGCCAGTCAAGTCACTGTTATTTGTTACCGTAACACGACTGGAGCAGTCACGTCTTGTTACAGTTCCAGTAAAATCGCAGGTTAGTCCACCTCTAGTTTAAACCAACCCGGAGGTGACTCGATATTGAAAAATCGGTCTACAAGGACGAAAAAATATAGCAACCCTGGCACAAAAGTTGCAGCAACCTTGACGCAAACTTCAAAAAATTTGACATATCAAAGTCAAAGTAGGCCAATTTTTGACAATTAATTCAAAATGGCGTTTGTTTTTTGTTTTGTTTTGAGAGCCCCCTTTTTTTGATTCGGAGCCCCGTTTTTTCAGCTAAATTTAGTGTTTCTTAAGTGCACATAGTAGCTCTAAAACCCTCTGAGTGAGTAGGACAAGGAAAGAAATAAAGTAGGATGTAATTCAAGAGCTCACTTTTTTTAAAAGAGGCAGAAAAACCTTATCTACCTTTAATTCTAGTATTTAAAACTAGAAATTTTTGGATGAAAATGAAGAGAACTCAAAGCTTCGTACTTAAAATCGGTTTTCTCGAGCGGAAAGGTACTGGAAAAGCGGAAAATCCGAAGAAAATCCGTAAAAATGACAATCCAGAGTCTACTCAATAAAACTTGAGTTTTTGTCACTTACCTCAATGGAATATTGGAAATTTTTAGCAAAGAATGAAGGAAATTCAAAGCATCGTCTTCTCAATCGGTTTTTCCAATTGTAAACGGCCTGGAAAAGTGGAAAATTTGAGGAAAAACTGGATAAAAACATTCAAAAATTACCGACTGTCAAAACTGGGAAATGACATTGTGCGACGTTGCAACATTTCAAGTAGGAAAAAATTACATTTAAAATAGTTTTTTGTTTAAATAATTAATTAATAATGTTTATAAAATAATAAATTCCGAAAATAATGCATTGGAATCTTATTTCTAATAAATTTCAATAAAAATAACATTCCAAGGCCTGCTTAATAGTAAGAGAGACAAAGAGGGAGATGAAGTAGGAAACAATTTAAGTCTAAAAATCGAAGTTTTTGGTGGAAAAATTAAGTAAATTCAAAGACCCGCCTTTAAAATCATCTTTTTCTAATTGAAAAATCTCTGGAAAAGTAGAAAATTCAATGGAAAACCAACATAATTCCAAAGCCTACTTGAAATATCAAAGTTTTGGTCACTTACCCCATTGGAAAACTGGAAATTTTCGGTGGAAAATGGAGAAAATTCAAAGCCTCAAAATTTAAAACGGTTTTCCCGAATGAAAACGGCCTGAAAAAGCGGAAAATTTGAGAAAAAACTGGACAAAAATGTAAACTCGTCAATTGAAAATGGCCGACTGTCAAAAATGGCAAATGAAATTTATAAGGTCTACTTGAAGTTGGCTACAATGTTGCCACATCACAAAACTTCCAAAAAAATAATTTAAAATCGGATTCTACTTGTAATTTAATCATTAAAAACCCGTTAAATAATTAATTATTAACGATTTTAAAATTAGAAATTCCTTAAATAAGTCCTCAAAAACTTGCTTTTCAATAATTTCTTTCACTTACCTTTTAACCGTAAATAAATGGATCTAAAACTGGAAATTTCTAGCAGAAAATGGAGAAAACTCGAAGCCTCGTAATTTAAACCAGTTTTTTCGACTAAACAAAACCCTGAAAAAGTGGAAAATTCGAAGAAAACCTGGATAAAAATGTAAACACGACACTCCAAAATGGCCGACTAATAATTTGGTAGTGAGTACGACAAAGAGAGAGATATAGGTAGTAGGATACTTTTTTAGTCTAAAAATGGAAGTTTATGGTGAAAAATTGAAGCAAATTTAAAGCCCGGCATTCAAAACAGTCTTTTTCCGATTGAAGAAGCCTTGGAAAAGTGGAAAATTCAATGGAAAAGCAACATTTTAAAGCTTACTTGATCAAACCAAGGTTCTGGACACTAACCTCGTTGGAAAACTGGAAATTTTTGTCAGAAAATGGAGGAAACTTAAAGCCTCGTACTTTAAACAAGTCTTTTTGATTGAAAAACCGGAAAATTCAAGAAAAAGCTGGATAAAAACACTCGGCTGTCAAACGTAGCAAAAGACATTACCTACATTAAATAACATGGCCTAGGTACATAAATGAGTGAAACAAAGAAAAAGTAGGATGCACTTCAATGCCATCCCATGTTTGTCTTGGTCTTCTTTTTTATTCCTTCTTTTTTCTATCTTTGATTGCCATACTCTTTTGACTGGTCTAATGTCGTTCATTCTTTCTAGATGCCCTCACCAGCTTAATTGTCGCTTTTCAATGAACTTGAATGTTGATTCTATGTCAAGGTTTTTTCTTATTTCTGTATTTCTCAGTTTGTCTATCTTTGTGACACCTCTAACTCCTCTGAGATACTTCATTTCAACTGCCTGTAGTTTACTTTTTTGTCTGTTTGTCAACACCCATGATTCACATCCAAATTGGTCCATATATTGTTTTAAATAAGTACATTGTTTTCCTTGAAATTTCTTTTTTATTTATAAATGCCGAATTCATCATGTGGTAAAGATTTGTTGTTTTTTCTACTCTATTGTTAATTTCTATTTCTTGTTTGCTATTTTCTTCTATTTCCACTCCCAGATACTTTAAATGTTTTTACTTGTTCAATTTTTATTCCATCTATTTATACATTTATATCCATTTGTTTCTCTCCTATAGTCATAACTTTAGTTTTGTGTTTATTTACTCTCATTCCGAATTCTTCACAAACCGCATTCCAAATTTTTATATTTTTTTGTAAGTCTTTTTCTTTTTCTGCCATAATTATTACATTATCTGCAAAAGCTCCCTCTTATACATCTACTCTTTTTAGATTCCAGTATCCCACGTGTAGTTTTTGTCATTCTGTTTGCAAATTTTTTGATTATTTCGTCAATAAAGATCGTAAATAATAATGGGCTTAGTCCTCCTCCTTGCCTTAATTCTTCTTGCGTTGAAAACGCTTCTGATATTTTATTTCTATATATTACACAATTTATGTTATTCTCGTATATATTTTTTATTATTCTTATTATTTTAGTATTAACTCCCCTCTTCCAATATTTTCCATAACTTCTCTCTTCGAACTTTATCGAAAGCCTTTTCAAGGTCTATGAATCCCACATATACTACTTTTCCTTGCTGTGACAACTTTTCATTTATTTGTTTTACTGTGAATATGTGATCCTGTATGCTTCGGCCTTTTCTAAACCCACTTTGTGACTCTTCGAGGGTATTCTCTATTCTATGCCTTATTTTTCTGTCTATAATTTTCTCATATATTTTCATTGTTGTACTTACTAAGTAGATTTATCCCTTTATAGTTATTACAATCATGCCTGTCCCCCTTTTTATATATTGGAACTATTAGAGCTGTTTTCCAATCTTCCGGTATCTGTTCTTTTTTCCACGCTGTATTAAATATTCTTAGTAGTATTTCCATTCCTGTATCCCCTAGATTCTTACACATTTCCGCTGTTAATTTATCTGTTCTAGGTGATTTTCCATTCTTCAATTCCTTCATTATTTCCTGCAATTCGTTTATAGTTATATTTTCCTTATTTTCTTGATTTTTTCACATCATTTTCTTTGTTTTCACTTTCTACTATTCCATCGGCTCCTAGTAACTTGTGGAAATATTCTCTCCATCCATTCATTATTTTGTTTTCATTTGTTAGCTTCTCTCCGTCTTTATTCTTTTTATTTCTTGTACTTTCTCTTTTCGTAATGACTTCAAAGTTTTGTAGAATAGTTTTTGATTTGATTTACTATTTCTTTCTATTTTTTCACCAAATTCTTCCCATTGGTTTCGTGTTGCCACTGCTACCATATCTTTTACTGTTTTTCTGCTCTTTTTGTACCTTTCGTAATTTTGAGTTGTTCTGTTATTTATATAAATCTTCTATGCCTTTTTTTTTTTAAATTTTACTTGTCTCTTTATTTCTTCTGTCCACCATGCTGTTTGTTTTTTCTTATTTGTGCCACATATTTCTTTTGTTGTCTCCATAACTATTTTCCTAAAATACTTCTACATACCTTCTACATTAGTATTTTCATTTATGCATGTATCATTAGAGAATCCTTCTGTTAATGTTTTCTTGTATCTCTCTGCTATTTCTTTATTTTATAGTTTGTATGATTTCACTAATTCATATTATATTATTTTTTTTCTATCTTTTGATAATCATGTTTTGTATTCTCTACTGGCTCTCTAATTTTTGTGACAAGTAAATGGTGGTCACTATCTATTTCCGGCCCTCTTCTAACCTTGGTATCTAATACTTCCTTTCTATTATTCTTTTCTACTAATACATAATCTATTATCGACTTTTCATT